TGCAAACATCCTCACCATCCTTCAGAGTCAGCACTGTACTTCCACACTCCAGGAACCTGCAACAACCTCACCCATTCTTCAGAGTACAGCCTCTGTTACTTCCCAACCTCACAGGACTGCAACATCCTCACCCATCTTCAGAGTCAGCACTGTACTTCCCACCTCAGGGGACTGCAACATCCTCACCCATCTTAGGTACAGCACTGGGACTTCCCACCTCCAGGACTGCAACATCCTCACCATCCTTAGAGTTACGCCCACTGTACTTCCCACTCCCAGGACTGCATACATCCTCACCCATCCTTCAGAAGTACAGCCACTGTACTTCCCACCTCCAGGACTGCAACATCCTCACCCATCCTTCAGAGTACAGCCACTGTACTTCCCACCTCCAGGACTGCAACATCCTCAACCCATTCTTCAGAGTACAGCACTGTATTCCCCCTCCAGGACTGCAAACATCCTCGCCATCCTTCAGAGTACAGCCACTGTACTGTCCCACCTCAGGACTGCACCCCCCCCCCCCCCCCCCCCCCCCCCCCCCCCCCCCCCTACATCCTCCCATCCTTCAGAGTACAGCCACTGTACTTCCCACCTCCAGGACTGCAGCATCTCAAACCATCCTTTCAGAGTACAGCCACTGTACTTCCCAACTCCAGGACTGCTAATCCCACCCCATCTTCAGAGTACCAGCCACTGTACTTCCCACCTCCAGGACTGCAACATCCTCACCCATCCGTCAGAGTTCAGCCACTGTTACTTACCCACCTAAGGACTGCAACATCTCACCCATCCTCAGAGTACAGCCACTGTACTTCCCACCTCCAGGACTGCAAACATCCTCACCTCCTTCAGAGTACAGCCACTGTTATTCCCACCCTCCAGGACTGCAACTTCCTCACCCATCCTTAAGAGTACAGCCACTGAACTTCCCACCTTCAGGACTGCAACATCCTCACCCATCCTTCAGAGTACAGCCACCTGTACTTCCACCTCCAGGACTGCAACCATCCTCACCCACATCCTCAGTGGTACCAGCCACTGTACTTCCCCTCCAGGAACTGCAAACATCCTCACCCATCCTTCAGAGTACAGCCACTGTACTTCCCTCCTCCAGGACTGAAAATCCTCACCCATCCTTCAGGAGTACAGCCACTGTATTCCACCTCCAGGGACTGCAACATCCTCACCCATCTCTTCAGGTACAGCACTGTACTTCCCACCCAGGACGCAAACATCCCCTCACCATCCTTCAGAGTTCAGCCACTATACTTCCCACTCCAGGACTGCAACATCCTCACCCATCCTTCAGAGTACAGCACTGTACTTCCAACTCCAGGCTGCAACATCCTCTACCATCCTTCAGAGTTACAGCCACCTGTTCTTCCACCTCAGGACTGCAATCATCCTCACCCATCCTTCAGAGTAGTTACAGCAACTATACTTCCCACCTCCAGGACTGCAACATCCTCACCCATCCTTCAGAGTACTAGCCCACTGTATTTCCACCTCCAGGACTGCAACATCCTCACCCATCCTTCAGAGTACAGCCACTGTACTTCCAACCTCAGGACTGCCAACATCCTCACCCAGCCTTCAGAGTACAGCACTGTACTTCCCTCCTCCAGGACTGCAACATCCTCTCCCATCCTTCAGAGTACAGCCACTGGACTTCCCAACTCCAGGACTGCAACATCTCACCATCCTTCAAGAGTACAGCCACTGTACTTCCCACCTCCCAGGTCTGCTACTGCTCACCCATCCTTCAGAGTACTGCACTGTACTTCCCCTCCAGGACTGCAACTCCTCACCCATCTTCAGAGTACAGCCACTGTGACTTCCACCTCCCAGGACTGCATCATCCTCACCCATTCTTCAGAGTACAGCACTGTACTATCCCACCCCAGGACTGCAACATCCTCAACCCATCCTTCAGAGTTACAGCCACTGTACTTCCACACCAGGACTGCAACATCCTCACCCATCCTTCAGAGTACAGCCACTGTATTCCCACTCCAGGACTGCAAATCCTCACCCATCCTTCAGGTACAGCACTGTACTTCCACCTCCAGGACTGCAACATCTACCCATTCTTCAGAGTCATCACTGTACTTCACCACCTCCAGGACTGCAACATCCTCACCCATCCTTCAGAGTACAGCCACTGTACTTCCCACCTCCAGGACTGCAACATCCTCACCCATCCTTCAGAGTACAGCCACTGTACTTCCCACCTCCAGGACTGCAACATCCTCACCCATCCTTCAGAGTACAGCCACTGTACTTCCCACCTCCAGGACTGCAACATCCCACCCATCCTTCAGAGTACAAGCCACTGTACTTCCCACCTCCAGGACTGAACATCCCCACCATCCTTCAGAGTACGTACTGTACTTCCCACCTCCAGGACTGCAACATCCCCACCCATCTTCAGAGTACAGCCACTGTACTTCCCACCTCCAGGACTGCAACATCCTCACCCATCCTTCAGAGTACAGCCACTGTACTTCCCACCTCCAGGACTGCAACATCCTCACCCATCCTTCAGAGTACAGCCACTGTACTTCCCACCTCCAGGACTGCAACATCCTCACCCATCCTTCAGAGTACAGCCACTGTACTTCCCACCTCCAGGACTGCAACATCCTCACCCATCCTTCAGAGTACAGCCACTGTACTTCCCACCTCCAGGACTGCAACATCCTCACCCATCCTTCAGAGTACAGCCACTGTACTTCCCACCTCCAGGACTGCAACATCCTCACCCATCCTTCAGAGTACAGCCACTGTACTTCCCACCTCCAGGACTGCAACATCCTCACCCATCCTTCAGAGTACAGCCACTGTAATTCCCACCTCCAGGACTGCAACATCCTCACCACATCCTTCAGAGTACAGCCACTGTACTTCCCACCTCCAGGACTGCAACATCCTCACCCATCCTTCAGAGTACAGCCACTGTACTTCCCACCTCCAGGACTGCAACATCCTCACCCATCCTTCAGAGTACAGCCACTGTACTTCCCACCTCCAGGACTGCAACATCCTCACCACATCCTTCAGAGTACAGCCACTGTACTTCCCACCTCCAGGACTGTAACATCCTCACCACATCCTTCAGAGTACAGTCACTGTACTTCCCACCTCCAGGACTGTAACATCCTCACCCATCCTTCAGAGTACAGCACTGTACTTCCCACTCCAGACTGCAACATCCTCACCATCCTTCAGAGTACAGTCCACTGTACTTTCCCACCTCCAAGACAGACTAGCAACATACCTACAAATCCTTCAGAGTCAGGTACGACACTACCTCTCCCACATCCAGGACTTGCAACAGGTTGCAGCTCACCACGCTCCTTCAGGATACAGCACACTGTATTCACACCTGAGGTACTGCAAATTCACCTGAGCCACAATCTTGTTCAGAGGTTACATCATGTAACTTCCATTGCCTCCATGGACTACATATCTCACCACTTCCTCAGATAACATTGTCACTGTACTTCCTACCTTCCTGACTGCATATCCTCTACCAGATCTTCAGAGTTCAATCTCTGGACTCGCCACAGCTCCAGGTACTGCAACATCCTCACCACATACTTCAACAGAGGGGACTGGCACTATACTTCCCACTCCTAGGACTCAACATCTTCACCACACCCTTTAGGTACAGTCCTGTACTTCCCACCTCCAGGACTGCAACTCCCACCACATCCTTCAAGTACAGTCACGTACTTCCCACCCCCAGGACGCAACACCTCACCACATCCTTCAGAGTACAGCCCTGTACTTCCCCCCTCCGGGCTGCAACATCCTCACCCATCCTTCAGAGTACAGACAGTACTTCCCACCTCCGGAAAACAACATCCTCCCCATCCTTCAGAGTACAGCCATGTACTTCCCACCTCCAGGACGCAAAATCCTCACCCCTCCTTTCAGAGACAGCCCCTGTAATTCCCCCCCCAGGACTGCAACATCCCCCACCCACCTTCAAATACAGCCCTTCTTCCCCCCTCCGGACCAACAAACCTCACCCCTCCTTTAGATACGCCACTTATTTCCCACCTCCAGGACTGTACTCCTCACCCTCCTTTAAATGCTGGTATGTTTCTTTCCCACCCCGGACGTATCATCCTCCTCACCTTTAGAGTACAGCCAGTCTTCCCCACCTCCAAGTTGCCATCCCCACCCACCTTCGAACAGCCCCTGCACTTCCCACCTCCAGGACACAACATCCTCACCCATCCTTTAGAGTACAGTCACTTTCTTCCCACCCCCAGGACTGCAACATCCCCACCCATTCTTCAGTACAGTCACTGTATTCCCCCCTCCAGGACTGCAACATCCTACCCTCCCTTCAGGTACAGTCACTGTCTTCCCACCCCCAGGACTGCAAAAATCCTCCCCATCCCTTCAAGTACGCCCCTGTATTCCCACCTCCAAGATTGCAACATCCTCACCCATCCCTTTAAGTAAAAGCCCCGAGTTCCCACCTCCGGGCGCAACATCCTCACCCTCTTCAGAGACAGCCCCTGTAAACCCCCCTCCAGGACTCAACCCCACCCATCCTTCGAGTACAGCCATTTAAAATTCCCCACCTCCCCGGACTGCAAAATCCCCACCCATCCTTCCGGTACAGCCATGTAATTCCCACCTCCAGGGTCAACTCCTCACCCCCCCTTAGAGTACAGCCACTGTAATTCCCCCTCCAGGACTGCAACATCCTCACCCCCCTTCAAATACAGCCACTGTAATTCCCACCTCCAGGGGCGTAACATCCTCCCACCTTCAGGTACAGCCACTGAACTTCCCACCTCCAGGACTGCAACATCCTCACCCATCCTTCAGAGTACAGCCACTATACTTCCCACCTCCAGGACTGCAACATCCCCACCCATCCTTCAGAGTACAGCCACTGTACTTCCCACCTCCAAGAAACCTAGGTACTTACAGGATAAAGTTAACAAATCCTTCAACAGTTACTACGAACCACTAACCTCCCACACATCATCAACTCTGGATGAAGGAGAGTTGAAGGCATCACGACGCTCCTGAATAAAGTCCAACAACAGATGTACAATTGAATCGGTCCAGACAAAATCATCGGCTGAAAAAATAAAAACTTGTTAGTAGGTGTACACTCCAGTGTACCACATTTTTTGTACATGACTAATGTTCAACTCCTATTATAAATATGTACAATGTACAACACTAAGCCTTACCTTACCTTAGATATACCTTTGAAGAGTTTCGAGAGTTTATCTACTCTCTGAGCCCGGCCATGGGCCAGGCTCGTGTGGTGCTTGCTTGGTCAACCAGGCTGTTGCTGCTGGAGGCCCGCTGCCCCACATATTCATCACAGCATGGTTGATCTGGCACCTGGTGAAGATACTTGTCTAACTTCCTCTTGAAGGTTTCTACACTTGTTCCAGCAGTGTTTCTGATATCTTCTGGTAAGATGTTGAAAAGTCTGGGACCCCGGATGTTGATACAGTGTTCCCTTATTGTCCCCACCACACCCTTGCTCCTCACTGGGTTTATTTTACACTTCCTCCCATATCTCTCACTCCAGTATGTTGTTATGGCAGTGTGCAGATTTGGGACCAAGCCCTCAAGTACCTTCCAGGTATATATTATTAAATCCTCTGCTCCAATGAGTACATGTTCAAGACTTGCAGGTGTTCCCAGTAGTTTAGGTGCTTTACTGGTTCAATGTGAGCCGTAAACGATCTCTGTAGTATTTGTTCCCGCTCCGATATTTCTCCTGCCTTGAACGGGGCCGTCAGCACTGAGCAATATTCTAAGTGAGGGAGCACTAGCGATTTGAAAAGTGTCACCATCGGCATTATTTCCCTTGTTTTGAAAGGTCTCAATACCCACCCTGTCATCTTCCTGGCTGTCGTGATCTTTGTCTTGTTATGGTCTTTAAAAGAAAGGTCTGCTGACGTAATTATTCCCAGGTCTTTTACGTGTTCCTTACGTTCTATTTGGTGACCCTCTTGAGTTTTGTATATAGTGCTCCTTTTGAGTTCTTCATTCTTTCCATACCTAAGCAGCTGGAACTTATCACCATTGAACGTCATGTTGTTCTCCACCGTCCACTGGAAAACCCTGTTTATGTCTTCCTGTACTTTTTCAGTGTCCTCTACCGTACTGACTTTCATGCTTATTTTAGTGTCATCTGCAAATGATGATACAAAAGTGTGCCGGGTGTTTTTGTCTATGTCTGCTATGAGGATGACGAACAGCAGAGGTGCCAGGACAGTGCCTTGGGGCACTGAGCTTTTGACCTCGCTGATGCTGGATCTTGCCCTGTTCACTACTAATTTTTGTGTTCTGTGTGTTAGGAAACCGAAAATCCATCTGCCTACCTTCCCCGTAATGCTTCATTTTGTGTGCTATCACTCCATGATCACATTTGTCAAATGCCTTTGCAAAATCTGTGTAAATCACATCTGCATTTTGGTTGTCTTCCAGTGCCTGCATAATTGTCATAATGGTTCAGCAGCTGTGACAGACATAATCGTCCTGCTCTAAAACGATGCTGGTTTGGGTTATGTTGGTTGTGCTGGTCCATGAAATTTGTAACCTGCCGTCTCATCACTCTTTCGAAGATTTTTATGATGTGAGAGGTTAGGGCTACTGGTCTGTAATTTTTAGCTAGTGCTCTACTACCTCCCTTATGCAAAGGAGCTATGTCTGCACTCTTAAGGCCTCTGGTATTTCACCTAGATCTAAGCTCTTTCTCTAAAGAATACTGAGGGCTCGTGCTAGTGGTACTTTGCACTTCTTTATAAATAGAGCATTTCATGAATCTGGTCCAGGTGCTGAGTTAATTGGCATGTTTTCCATTTCTTTTTTGAAATCTATGAGATTTGTACTAATGTCAGTTAGTTGGTCCGTGCGGCCTTCTTCTGGAGTGAAAAATATTTCTGCATTTTCTACCTTGCTGTCATTTAGTGGGTTGCTGAACACCGGCTCATACTGATCTTTTAGGATTTCACTCATTTCCTGTTCATCGTCAGTATACGAGTCTCCTCTCAGTAGTGGTCCAATTCTACAGGTAGTTCTTAGCTTGGATTTTGCATAGGAATAGAAATATTTTGGGTTCCTTGCAATATCCTGTATGGCCCTTTGTTCCCTTTGTACTTCTTCTGTGAGGTATGACATTCTAAGTTTTTGCTCTAATTCAGTGATCTCTGCTAAGTCTGTCTTTCCTCTGTTGTAGCATATTTGTGTTTTTAAGCAGTTCAGTAACTCCTATGCTCTCTCTCTATATCTGATCTTCTTCTGGGTTTCCTCAATGGTACATATTTCATACATACTTTGTATGCTTCTGTATTCAGCTTCTCTAGGCACTGGTGGGGAATTACTTCACTCATGTCTGATTCCCAGGGTATGTCTGGTAGCTCTTGGTTTATTTTTTCCCAGTTAATTCTATGGTTGTTAAATTTAAACTTACTGAACATCCCGTCTCTAACTTTAGTGATGCAGTTTCCTACCCCTGAGTTAATACTAGTTTGAACCTCTATGATGTTACGATCAGAGTAAATAGTTTTGGAAACTGTCATGTCTCTGATCAGTTTCTCGTTGTTTGTGAATATCAAATCCAGGGTATTTTCATTTCTGGTGGAATCAATTACCTGTTGGTTTAAAGAGTACTTTTCACAAAGCCTCATTAGTTCCCTGGTATGTACCTGTTGAGCAAGGGTGCTTCCCGGGGATATTTCTGGTATAACATTACGTTGTGCCATCTTCCATTTTACATGAGGGAGATTTAAATCTCCAAGGAGTAAAATATTTGGTGTAGGATTTTCTAGCCTATCCAGATAGCTATATATCTTCCTTAGCTGATCTGTGAATGCCTCAGCAGTTGCCGATGGTGGTTTGTATACTAGGATAATTACCAAATTCCTATTTTCAACTTTAATGCCTAGAATCCCTTGTATGTGTTTCTGTAAATGTTCCGAACATGGCATTCACTTCTGTCAGGAGCCCACTGACATAACTAAATTTGTCATTTTTATTTGATTTCAAACCCTGTATATTTGCAAATATGAAGCAGGAATTACCAAGTGGGATGTTTTGTCTCGATTTGTGTTTCATTAGTACCACTGGTGGTGTACTACCTGGTATGTCCCCCTGGTGTACATGCCCCTGGTTTCTCCAGTACTGAATTTGCGTTTGTTTGCTTATTCAGCCTTGATGGGCTGATGCCCATCAAGGTATAATACTTATGTACAACTATGGACAAATAAGTACTACTCTTGTGTAAAATCCCTATGCCTGTAAAGCTTTTATAAATAAAGATTTTATATGACTGATTTCATTATTATTATTATTATTATTATTATTATTATTATTATTATTATTATTAGCATACACTGATAGGAGAGCTAAACCCTTATGGGTCATCAAGTGCCTGGATAAATGGAAGGTGTTCAGGTTCAATCTGAGGAAGAGTACAGGTTCAGTTCCCTGGATCAAGAGCCCCTCACTGGCATCAAGGAACCTCCTGTGTGTGACCAAGTCATGTTTCTCATCACCTGGGCAATAAGGAATATAAAAAATGAGAGAGACTATGAGGGCTACACATACAGAGGTTATTATTTAATATTTTCAAGGCTAAATCTAGCCTTAATAATAATAATAATAATCTATATTTCCACAAGTACATGTACAATGTATACAGACCATAGCTGATATCAATGACATACTACTATATAGAAAGTCCCTTGTTATGCTGAATTTTTTAAACAAATTAGGTAAATTTTGTCCCCAGGATGCAACCCATGCCAGTCCACTAACACCCAGGTACCTATTTTACTCTAGGTGAACATGGCCAGCAGGTATCTTAAGGAAACACATCCTAATGTTTCCACCTGTACCGGGGATTGAACCACGGACCTCAGCGTGTGAGCTGAATGCGCTACCAACCCAACTATGGGACACCTCGAATACCTTGATACGTCTTCATTTCTTTTGCAGCATTTGTGATACACTATCTTACTGGTTTTATATTACAACTATACAGTAATGAAAAGTTGATGAATCTGACAGCTGCCACATTTATGAACCATTGTTGTTGCAACATTTGTGCCTGCACAAGTCTTCATTCGAATACAGGGCAATATAACACTACCTGGAGGGTACTCTGGCTATCAATGCCCATGGCCCATTCCATGACCAGGCCTCCTGGTGCATCAGGGCTTGATCAACGAGGCTGTTACTGCTGGCCGCACATAGTCCAACATACAAACCACAGCCTGGCTGGTCCAGCACTGACTGTAGGTATCTGTCCAGCTCCCTCTGGAGAGTAATTTTGAGGTGATCAGTCCCTCAGTCTTGAGAGTTCAAGCTGACTATCCCTTATTCAAAATTCCAATATTCGAAGAGCTCTGAATCCAAAATTTTTTTGATCGCCGACGTGATGCTGCATGTGGATATATCCAGTCAGCTCTGGGGAGGTTTCCAGGTGTTTTGCAGGTCTCTGTGTACCCAGTCAGTTGTGACATGTGGCTAAAGTGCTCTGCATAACCATGGGCTTTCTGCATGCACAACAAATGACACCCATCTCTGTGATAATATAACACTGGAGGGTGCCGCTTTACACCACTTCACTTTATGGTGTTTCGCTAATAGTACAGTGGACCCCCGCATAACGATTACCTCCGAATGCGACTAATTATGTAGTGTATTTATGCTAGTTGCGTTGTATGCTGTCATGTTGGGGTCGAATGGGCTAAATCTTCTGCAATATTCTAATGGGCTTTCGCATGCAACAATGACACCCATCTCTGGATAATAAAATATCGTTAACACCTATTTTGGGGTTCGCTAATACAGCGATTTTCAATTACACCCATTTTCATTGATTCAGACTTCCTACAATAAATATATTCACCATTCACTATAAGCAAAGAATGAAAACATTTTAAGGCAAGTAATGTGTGTACTGTATATGCATATTTTAGGTCTGGTTCAATTGCTCACTTAATATATGATAGTGCAAACACAGTATCAGGCTTTTATATGCATTTGAAAGTGGAAGAGAAGTCTATGTCTCACTTTACAGCAGAAGTCCAGACCCAGCCTGCTGTATAAGTGAGGCCCTCCTATATTGTCAATAGCAATGAAGATCAAGATATATATATAATAGGAAAAGCCTTTACTGGTTCAAATTTCTTCTCCATAATTATTACTATTTTATTACAATAAAAACTAAGCAATGAACCCCCAAGGGTTATAAAGCACTGACATTCTTCTCTAAAGAGAGAATTTATATTTTTTTTCAAGTCATGACTTAAAGCAAACTCATTAGAGCGAACTAACCTTAAAATAAACTTAAAGTAAACTGTTGTTGTCAAATTTCCTCTCACCTTTCTTCTGTTTCCTTCCTCTATTTCACCTCCTCTCTTCACCCTTTCTTTCATCTATTCCCCTCCCTCTTGATTTCCACCCACTCCCCCACTCTGACTTCCACCCACACACTCACCACCAGCAGTAAGATCAGTGTAGTGTGTAGGAGAAGCTCTGTCATTCAATGATGCTGCTGTGCCACTAGTTTTCCTGAAAATAATAATACATAATAATAATAACAATAATAATAATAATAATAATAATAATAATATTAATACTAAAAATAATAATACATAATAATAATAATAATAATAATAAAAATAATAATAATTCTCCATGGGGAAGTGGAACAGAATTCTTCCTCTGTAAGCCATGCGTGTCGTAAGAGTCGACTAAAATGCCGGTAGCAAGGGGCTAGTAACCCCTTCTCCTGTATATATTACTAACTTTAAAAAGAGAAACTTTTGTTTTTCTTTTTGGGCTGCCCCGCCTCAGTGGAAACGGCCGGTTTGATGAAAAAAAAATAACAATAATCTTTATTTCTACAAGTACGTACATGTACAAGGTATACAGACCATAGCTGACATTAATGACATACTACTACAGTCACTTGATATGCAAATAATTTCCCGAAAATTAGGTCAATTTTGTCCCCAGGGTGTGACCCACACCCAGGTTCCTATTTTACTGCTAGGTGAACAGTGATAGCAGGTGTAAGGTGACTAATACCCAGGTATCTATTTTACTGCTAGGTGAACATGGACAGCAGGTGTCTTAAGGAAACACATGTTGCCACCCATACCGGAGATCAAACCATGGACCTCAATGTGTGAGCTAAGTCAGGAAAATATTCACCGGATACTCAGATATCATCATTTGTTCATTATTCATCTTTATATTACAGTTTGTCAGTTTCTGCATGGTCTTGTCTAGGCCAAGATCAAAATTAAATACTACAGTATTAATTAATCAAGGTAAGGGTAATTTAGTCTAACAATTTGAATTAACCTATCTCCATTGTTAACCAATTCATGAACAGGCAACTTAATACACAAATAACCCAGGTATAGGAGAGAGAAGCTTGTGATGACATTTTGGTCAGACTCGGACAATTAACAAGCCACACTAACACGTGAAGGTGAGGGATATTTGTGTATTGTTCCAGTCACAGGGTTGTGCCTTTTTGTTCTTTATTTATCAGATACTTTTAACAATAGGTAATTTTAAAAAAAAATTTTAACCCAACTGCCCAAAATGTCCCGCATGCTAGAAGCTCTTGTTTGTGCTTAAAAATACTGTACTACATATTTTATTACAAGTAAATTACATTTTGTATACTGCAGAAAGAAATAAAGAGGGAACACTCACACTTGGTCTCTCATTCCAAGAGGATCAATCTCCTTCCCAAGGATGTGGTGGAGTGCATCAAAATATTCGAACCTGTAGCTGTTATCCCCATGAATTTGCTTCTGTAGGACCTTCACGTACGTGGCCTGTGGATCAGATGGCAGTCAGTGCATCTGCTCTTAATCTCAAAGAAATTGCAAGAATTAATTCATATAGTTCAACAGCATTTATGAATGTGGAGGTTCCCCTCGCTACATATAAACTGACTATGCTGCAATATGCCCCTCCGAAATGTAATTTCATTTGTGTATTGATTGAGGCTGGTCAGCACTCTTAATAACAAAAATAGTAATAATATACAACATACACAATAAAAGCAAAGAAACCACTAACAAAGAAAAGCTAAGAAAAACACGAGTAAAATAACCAGCACCAATTAAACACAGCTTAAATTATTGGCATGAAAGATTTGGCTAAAAATTCCCTGAGGTTCCAACAGGTACCCCAGCAGCCAACACACCTTGAGATTCCTCCACTTTTTATCGCACTCACTGCCAGTACAGTTGTAGCCTTCTTCCTGCATCCGCTGTGCCACATTGCTCCAAATGGATTTCTTCTTTTTGGATGGGTCATAAAAATCCTCAAAGAATTCCTCAACCTTGCTGATTAGGGCATGCACTTTCTGTCGATTCCATTGGAACTCTGTCGCAGTTGCTGCAGGCACGGGTGGGTGGTCGCTTGTGAATGGCATCACTTGAAAAATAAGAGAAAATGGCAATTTAAAAAATGGGTGGGGGAAAAATAGGTGGGGGGAAAAAAGAGAATGGGAATCAATTGTTCTAAAAAATATTTAATCAAAGATATCACTATACATGAGCCAGTAGGCCTGCTGCAGTGCTCCTTTATTCTAATGTTCTTATACTGCAACTGAGGAATATGTCATCAGGTTTGACCCAAGAAAAGGAAAGGTAGCTCAAATTCTTCGAATTAAAGGCAATTTCTCTTGACATCAGTGAACCGCTCCTGAAAAAGGCTATTACAAAGGTACTGTGGAAATAAGTCACTTTGTCTGACTTTTTTGTTATCCTGAGGGGAAATTTACACTGTATGATAACTGCACTTATGTGTACCCATATCTAAGTAAACTTACTTAATAACACCTAACAACCAAGTAACAGTTTGTTAAACATTAATTATAGGTAACATACTGAGGGTCCAGAGTTCAATCCCTGGCACAAATACAAATACTGGGCATGCTTCCTTCCTTGGGTTATCCTGGTGGTTAATTTACACATACGTTAAACTATGTATGATAATCGTACTTGTGTGTACCTGTACCTAAATAAATTTACTTACTACAGGCACTCCTTCCTTAACAACTTACCTGTTTAACGACTGCTCAGACTTATGACCAGCTCTCCGACCAGTCAGTATACTGTATACAGTACAGTCAGTGTACTGTATACAGTACAGTCAGTGTACTGTATACAGTACAGTCAGTATACTGTATACAGTACAATCAGTGTACTGTATACAGTACAGTCAGTGTACTGTATACAGTACAGTCAGTGTACTGTATACAGTACAGTCAGTATACTGTATACAGTACAGTCAGTATACTGTATACAGTACAGTCAGTGTACTGTATACAGTACAGTCAGTATACTGTATACAGTACAGTCAGTGTACTGTATACAGTACAGTCAGTGTACTGTATATATACAGTACAGTCAGTATACTGTATACAGTACAGTCAGTATACTGTATACAGTACAGTCAGTGTACTGTATACAGTACAGTCAGTGTACTGTATACAGTACAGTCAGTGTACTGTATACAGTACAGTCAGTGTACTGTATACAGTACAGTCAGTGTACTGTATACAGTACAGTCGTTGTATGTTATACAGTACAGTCAGTATACTGTATACAGTACAGTCAGTATACTGTATACAGTACAGTCAGTATACTGTATACAGTACAGTCAGTGTACTGTATACAGTAGTCAGTGTACTGTATACAGTACAGTCAGTGTACTGTATACAGTACAGTCAGTGTACTGTATACAGTACAGTCAGTGTACTGTATACAGTACAGTCAGTATACTGTATACAGTACAGTCAGTATACTGTATACAGTACAGTCAGTGTACTGTATACAGTACAGTCAGTATACTGTATACAGTACAGTCAGTATACTGTATACAGTACAGTCAGTGTACTGTATACAGTACAGTCAGTATACTGTATACAGTACAGTCAGTATACTGTATACAGTGCAGTCAGTATACTGTATACAGTAGTCAGTATACTGTATACAGTACAGTCAGTGTACTGTATACAACAATATGTAAAGATGGCTGACACAAACCCACTACCAGTACAGTATGCTTGAAATACAGCCTCTCCTCACTTAACGACAGAGTTCCGTTCTTAAGACCACGTCTTGAAATGAATTCATCACTAAGTGAGGAGCATACTATAACAGTAGTGGGTTTGTGTCAACCATCTTTGATATTGTTTTAATGTTACCTTTGCAACATTTATAAGATTTTTGTTATATTTTTAAATGTTTATACAGTAGTGTACTGTATATTGAAATAAACAGAACAGAGGAAATCAGCTCTAATATACATTATTTAGGTATAAATACTGGTCAGAGAGCCCATCATAAGTCCAAGACGTTGGTAAACGAGTACATCGCTAAGTGAGGCGAGGCTGTATATCAATAAGGGGCGGCTCCTCGCTTATCAACCAATTTGCTTAATGACCTAGTCGTAGGAATAGAACTCAATCATTAAGTGTGGAGTACCTGTACTTATGAACATGTGAAGAACATAAGAAAGAAGGAACACTGCAGCAGGCTTACTGGCCCATGCGAGGCAGGTCCAAGTCTCCTACCAGCTTAAGCCAATGACCCAACCTAGTCAAGTCAGGTCACATCCACTTAAGGAAGGAGCACGGCATCTAACCTAGTAGCACAAGCTAGTCAGGTCCAAATCACACTCACCCACACCCACTCGTGTATTTATCTAACCTATTTTTAAAACTACACGACATCTTAGCTTCTATGACTGTACTCGGGAGTTTATTCCACTCATCAACAACTCTGTTACCAAACCAGTGCTAGCTTGTATATTTAACTGTGTACACATGTATGTATGCATGCAATTATATACAGTGGTGCCTCGAGTTTCAAACAGCTCTCAACTCGAACAATTAAGCAAGTGTATTTTTTAAGTGCTTTTGTAAGTGTATTTTTGGGGGTCTGAAACGGACTAATCTAAATTACATTATTCCTCATGGGAAAAAATTCATTCAGTATCAGCACTCAAACAGCCTTCTGGAACGAATTAAGTTCGTAACTCAAGGTACCACTGTATTTAACCCGTAAACATTCCAAGCAGATCTACATTCACATGTGTAGCGCTACAAAAGTAGATCTACGTTTTTCTTACATATTTTCAAATATAACAAAAAAAAAATAGATCAAAGTTTTTTACACATTTTCAAATGTAAAAAAACAAAAAGAAGATCTACTTTTTTTACATATTTTCAAATGTTGAAAAAACGTATATATACGTTTGGACCGTTTACGGGCTAAGTAAAATAATTTTTATCTTTATCGAGAGAGCCTAGATAAAACCAGATACACAATATAAAATAAAAATCATTCATACGTATAAAAAAAACTGCGTATTATTAATTATGAAATTAAAGATACATTTCAAACCTTTTTTTTTAATGAGAGTTTCAAATCTGATATTTCCTCTTCATGCTAAAAAAAAAAAAAAGTAAATAAAATATATTAATCATACTCCCAGGACAAAATTATAGGAATTAATGAAATTATAGTAATGATGATAATTATACCAATTATAGTAATTATAATAATCATAGCAATTATATGAATTATAGCATTTATAAGAATTATAGCAATTATAAGAATTATAGCAATTATAAGAATTACAGCAATTACAAGAATTACAGCAATTTAATTATATAAATTACAAGAATTATTGCAATTACAATTATAAGAAATAAAAATTATAGCAGTTGTACCTTTAGGTCTATGATATTCCATAATGGAACCATCAAATTATATTAGTATTTTGGGTAGACCTAACACCATTGTAAACCTCAGGGTTCCTTCTTCAGGACACGTTGTTAGGTTCCTTCTTCAGGACACGTTGTTAGGTTCCTTCTTCAGGACACGTTGTTAGGTTCCTTCTTCAGGACACGTTGTTAGGTTCCTTCTTCAGGACACGTTGTTAGGTTCCTTCTTCAGGACACGTTGTTAGGTTTCTTCTTCAGGACACGTTGTTAGGTTTCTTCTTCAGGACACGTTGTTAGGTTCCTTCTTCAGGACACGTTGTTAGGTTCCTTCTTCAGGACACGTTGTTAGGTTCCTTCTTCAGGACACGTTGTTAGGTTCCTTCTTCAGGACACGTTGTTAGGTTTCTTCTTCAGGACACGTTGTTAGGTTCCTTCTTCAGGACACGTTGTTAGGTTCCTTCAGGACACGTAGTTAGGTTACTTCTTCAGGACACGTAGTTAGGTTCATTCTTCAGGATACGTAGTTAGGTTTCTTCTTCAGGACACGTAGTTAGGTTCATTCTTCAGGATACGTAGTTAGGTTCCTTCTTCAGGACACGTAGTTAGGTTCATTCTTCAGGATACGTAGTTAGGTTTCTTCTTCAGGACACGTAGTTAGGTTCCTTCAGGACACGTAGTTAGGTTCCTTCTTCAGGACACGTTGTTAGGTTCCTTCTTCAGGACACGTTGTTAGGTTCCTTCTTCAGGACACGTAGTTAGGTTCCTTCAGGACACGTAGTTAGGTTTCTTCTTCAGGACACGTAGTTAGGTTTCCTTGGAGGTTTTTCTGAATCCTAACGACAACACTTGCTGTTGTTGTTGTTGAGGTTGTTAAGGGCCATCAAGACTTACATCTTATTGAACCTTCCTTCCAGGTGACCAGAATTTATTATTATAATAAAAAAGAAGCGCTAAACCACAAGGGCTATACAGCCCGGGAGACCAGAAAATAATATTTTGTCACTGTATGAGCAGGAATTGTAAAGTTGTCAAGGAACAATAAGTTCCTTTACGGAACTTATTGTTCCCATTTCTCATAGTTAGGTCAGAGGGATACCTCGCTCACTTGCTGGTACCCCAGCAAATTATAATAATAATAATCTTTTATTTCTACAAGTACATGTACAAGGTACACAGATCATAGCTGACATCAATGATGCTACTATATAGAGAGTTCCTTGTTATGCAGAGCATTTCCCGCAAATTAGATTAATTTTGTCCCCGGATGCGACCCACACCAGTCTATTAACACCCAGGTACCCATTTTACTGATGTGTGAACACTGGATATAAGGTGTCTATAGGAAACTCGTCCTAATGTTTTCCAACCATACCAGGGATTGAACCACAGACCTTAATGGATGAGAAGAGTGCACTAACAATCGAGCGAGACTGGACCTTGTGTTCTGATGTAGAATGGGAATAATAAGTGCCTTAGATAAGTCAAATGGAAACCTTTCCCCATTTGCCTAAGCCCCAAAAAACTAAGGAAACCAATGAGGCTAGACCTTGTGTTCACGCAAAGTGACTCTGATGTAGGGGGCATTGAATATTAGAGGCTCCTCGGATCTAGTGACCATGGAGTACTGAGGTTCGGTTACCTTGTGGAATGGAATGTGGAGAGAAATACAAGTGTGAAGGAAGGGACAAACTACGAGGACCTCCAGTAAAAATAAGTCACTCGGTCTGACTTTTCTGAGTTATCCTGGTGGGTAATTTACATTATGTATGATAAATATACTTATGTGTACCTGTGCCTCAATTCATTCAGGCACTGAGGCAATTTCTATGCAAAGTGGCAAGGGAAAGAGAACTAGATGGAACGGCAGCAAACGAATATATGGAAATAGAAGAAAAATTCATAACCAGAAGCAGAAATACAGACAAGAGCAGTGTGAACCCATGGTTGAGTAAGAGCAGTGTGAACCCATGGTTGAGTAAGAGCAGTGTGAACCCATGGTTGAGTAAGAGCAGTGTGAACCCATGGTTGAGTAAGAGCAGTGTGAACCCATGGTTGAGTAAGAGCAGTGTGAACCCATGGTTGAGTAAAGCAGTGTGAACCCATGGTTGACTAAGAGCAGTGTGAACTCATGGTTGACTAAGAGCAGTGTGAACCCATGGTTGACTAAAAGCAGTGTGAACCCATGGTTGACTAAGAGCAGTGTGAACCCATGGTTGACTAAGAGCAGTGTGAACCCATGGTTGACTAAGAGCAGTGTGAACCCATGGTTGACTAAGAGCAGTGTGAACCCATGGTTGACTAAGAGCAGTGTGAACCCATGGTTGACTAAGAGCAGTGTGAACCCATGGTTGACTAAGAGCAGTGTGAACCCATGGTTGAGTAAGAGCAGTGTGAACCCATGGTTGAGTAAGAGCAGTGTGAACCCATGGTTGAGTAAGAGCAGTGTGAACCCATGGTTGACTAAGGGCAGTGTGAACCCATGGTTGACTAAGAGCAGTGTAAACCCATGGTTGAGTAAGAGCAGTGTGAACCAATGGTTGACTAAGAGCAGTGTGAACCCATGGTTGACTAAGAGCAGTGTGAACCCATGGTTGACTAAGAGCAGTGTGAACCCATGGTTGAGTAAGAGCAGTGTGAACCAATGGTTGACTAAGAGCAGTGTGAACCCATGGTTGACTAAGAGCAGTGTGAACCCATGGTTGACTAAGGGCAGTGTGAACCCATGGTTGACTATGAGCAGTGTGAACCCATGGTTGAGTAAAAGCAGTGTGAACCCATGGTTGACTAAGAGCAGTGTGAACTCATGGTTGACTAAGAGCAGTGTGAACCCATGGTTGACTAAGAGCAGTGTGAACCCATGGTTGACTAAGAGCAGTGTGAACCCATGGTTGACTAAGAGCAGTGTGAACCCATGGTTGACTAAGGGCAGTGTGAACCCATGGTTGACTAAGAGCAGTGTGAACCCATGGTTGAGTAAAAGCAGTGTGAACCCATGGTTGACTAAGAGCAGTGTGAACTCATGGTTGACTAAGAGCAGTGTGAACCCATGGTTGATAAGAGCAGTGTGAACCCATGGTTGACTAAGAGCAGTGTGAACCCATGGTTGACTAAGAGCAGTGTGAACCCATGGTTGACTAAGAGCAGTGTGAACCCATGGTTGACTAAGAGCAGTGTGAACCATGGTTGACTAAGAGCAGTGTGAACCCATGGTTGACTAAGAGCAGTGTGAACCCATGGTTGACTAAGAGCAGTGTGAACCCATGGTTGAGTAAGAGCAGTGTGAACCCATGGTTGACTAAGGGCAGTGTGAACCCATGGTTGACTAAGAGCAGTGTGAACCCATGGTTGACTAAGAGCAGTGTGAACCCATGGTTGACTAAGAGCAGTGTGAACCCATGGTTGAGTAAGAGCAGTGTGAACCCATGGTTGACTAAGAGCAGTGTGAACCCATGGTTGAGTAAGAGCAGTATGAACCCATGGTTGACTAAGAGCAGTGTGAACCCATGGTTGACTAAGAGCAGTGTGAACCCATGGTTGACTAAGAGCAGTGTGAACCCATGGTTGACCAAGAGTAGAGTGAACCCATGGTTGACTAAGAGCAGTGTGAACCCATGGTTGACTAAGAGCAGTGTGAACCCATGGTTGACTAAGAGCAGTGTGAACCCATGGTTGACTAAGAGCAGTGTGAACCCATGGTTGACTAAGAGCAGTGTGAACCCATGGTTGAGTAAGCGATCGACGGAGGTTAAAATGCAAAGTGAAAGAAGATGGTAAAATACTGAAAGAATGCTGGAGAATGGGGAAGTGATCAAAAGAGTCAGAAATGAAGAGAGAGAGGGGCTGAACAACAATATGAGAGTGACATAGCATCAGAAGTCAAATCTGAGCCAAAGTTGATGTACAGTCACATATGAAGGAAGATATCTGTGAAAGTCCAGGTAATAAGGCTGAAGAAAAAAGGAGAGTTCACTAAGAATGAGCAAGAAGTCTGCAAGTAGGTGAGTAAAAGATTTAGGAAGGTAGACATTGTAATAGTAGAAGCCAGATGTGTCGCAGGGTGTTAGGAAATACTTCTTTAGCCTTAAGACACCTGCTGTCCGTAGACTAGTGTGGGCAGCATCGTGGGGACGAAACTGACCTAATTTGCCCGAAATGCTCTGCATAACAAAAGCTTTCTCTATAGTAATATGTCACTGATGTCAGCTAGGCCGGTATAAGTTGTACATGTACTTGTAGAATAAAGATTATTATTATTATAACACTGCAACTACATTTAGGCGAGTTCCCCTACAAATACCCTCAGCTGAGTCAACAACAACAGTTTTTATTTGACCTAGAAGGAGGTGACGGATGGCTCCCAGACCAATTTCCAGAGGAATAAAGACAACAGCCGCCATGGGAAGAGAGAAATTATAAATCCGTCGCTGATGTTCAAGACAGGAATATAGTGAGGCGTCCTCCACCAAGGCCAGTCCAAAAATCCTTCGGTGAAGTTAACCAGAGGCCTAAACACCACTACAACCAGAGGTCTCACTCGCTGAGTCAACAAACAGGCTTTCTCTAAGACTTAAAAGAAAAAAATAGCTGACAGCAGACTATATGAGGACAAACGCCCCGGAAAGAGAAGATAGGATAAGATTTCGTTCGAATTTTTAACCCCGGAGGGTTAGCCACCCAGGATAACCCATGAAAGTCAGTGTATCATAGAGGACTGTCTAACTTATTTCCATTGGGGTCCTTAATCTTGTCCCCCAGGATGCGACCCACACCAGTCCACTAACACCCAGGTACCTATTATCTGCTAAGTGAACAGGACAACAGGTGTAAGGAAACGTGTCGAAATGTTTCCACCCGCCGGGAATCGAACCCGGGCCCTCCGTGTGTGAAGCGGGAGCTTTAGCCAATGATTGTACAGAAATGGGTGACATTTGGTTGTGCATAAAGCCCATGTGCTAATCTTCAGAATAATGTAATAATGTCACACTAGCTTCCTGCTAATACTCAGGAAATATTAAAAGCCTTAAAGAAATGTTGTCTCCTTGTATGTATTATTTTTTAATGCCTAAATAACCTACGTGACGATGTCTAATTCCTGACTTAATGTGTCAGAAATATTCTGCATAAAAGTGGCTTTCTATATATTAGTATGTCACTGATGTCTGTATAAGTTAAATACTTGTAGAAATATTATTTATTATTATTATTATTATTATTATTATTATTATTATTATTATTATTGCTATTATTATTATTATTATTATTATTATTATTATTATTATTATTATTATTATTATTATTGTTATTATTATTATTATTATTATTATTATTATTATAATTATTATTATTATTATTATTATTATTGTTATTATTATTATTATTATTATTATTATTATTATTATTATTATTATTATTATTATTATTGCTATTATATTATTATTATTATTATATTATTATTATTATTATTATTATTATTATTATTGTTGTTGTTGTTATTATTATTATTATTATTGTTATTATTATTATTATTATTATTATTATTATTATTATTATTATTATTATTATTATTATTATTATTATTGAGTAGTTTGTAAGCATTAATATTAATCTACCAGAAATATTCTGCATATTAGTGACTTTCTCTTGTGTTTAACAATATTTTATTACATATAAAACTAGATTTTTTATATTACTGCTGGAAGAAATAAAGTTTGTTAATTGTTTAATAATTCAAGGATTGTGTGTATAAATGTTTACTTACGATGAAGCTAGCATGAATATAAACGTTCAAGAGTTTTATAATTTATATTAAATATTTATATAAGACGGAGTGTAGATGTTCACTAGAGTGAACGTCTGTTCTCCATCATATTCGAATCTAATAATATAAATTTTAAAGTCTCCATTGTTAGTAAATATTTATACACCTAATCCTTGAAATAAACAAGATGTTATTAATATTTCCTGAGTGTTAGCAGGAGACTAGTGTGATACCTTACATTAACCTTTTATAATTCTCTGGACATTAAAACCCATAACTAACGTAAAAAAAACACTAGCTTATGACTTTTAAATTTTATATATATAAAGATATACACTCCTGTAATTAATATTAATTATTTACGACGTGATTATAAATAATATCCCGCAGGTTATGGCAAGTAATGAATTCACAATGACGTCATAATTATCTCCAGCCACAACCAAGGAAAATCTTCAAGAGTAAAAAACCTGCACGTGTAGCCGCTCTTCCTCAGTTTTATCACTCGACGCTGTATAATTATCATTATATTTGACGTTTATTGTAGGAGAGAAGACTGAGTGATCCAGGGAAGGTTGTTGAGGTCACCAGGACACTTAAAGATGGCGGTGAGTGAGGCAAATGTCACTTATTGTTATACATTTTGGGGGATTTTTGAGGTTGTCCTGGTGGGGTAAATTATATATAATATGTTAAACTATGTGTGATAATTGTTATATGTTTACATGTACCTAAATAAACTTAATTACCTTATTTTACTTTGCTGTGTATATGTGTGTTTTATATATATATATTATATATTTATATATATATATATATATATATATATATATATTATATATATATATATATGCAATAAGATCACAGTAAACAGGTGATTTCAAAATATGCAAAACAACCACTCTGAAAGAATAGAAAAATTCCAAGCGCTTTCGTGACTACTCACATTATCAAGGAACTATGAAAGTGAAGCATCCAAGGAAGCTATATAAGGGGTCTGGCCAGCACCTCACTATCAGATCCCACAACGGTTAAACACGTGACGTGCGGCGAGCCAACTTGGACAGGTCCTTTGCAAAACTCACCCCCAAGCTATTTATTTGTCCAGTGTATTATTAAATTCTACCCAACAAGTTGAGAAAGTAGTATCAAGCAAGTCCATGGTGGCCCGGTGGTCTGGTGGCTATAACTCCCGCTTCACACACGGAGGGCCCGGGTTCGATTCCCGGCGGGTGGAAATTCCAACACGTTTCCTTACACCTGTTGTCCTGTTCACCTAGCAGCAAATAGGTACCTGGGTGTTAGTCGACTGGTGTGGGTCGCATCCTGGGGGACAAGATTAAGGACCCCAATGGAAATAAGTTAGACAGTCCTCGATGACGCACTGACTTTCTTGGGTTATCCTGGGTGGCTAACCCTCCGGGGTTAAAAATCCGAACGAAATCTTATCTTATCTTATCTTGACAGGAATATAATTGAATCTTGTTTCATAAAAAGCAGTTTTGACAATAATATGAATATTTCCTTTGGTTTATGTAAATTAGATCCATTTATAATTAATAGAATTTGGGTAGAATTTAATAATACACTGGACAAATAAATAGCTTGGGGGTGAGTTTTGCAAAGGACCTGTCCAAGTTGGCTCGCCGCGCGTCACGTGTTTAACCGTTGTGGGATCTGATAGTGAGGTGCTGGCCGACCCCTTATATAGCTTCCTTGGATGCTTCACTTTCATAGTTCCTTGATAATGTGAGTAGTCACGAAAGCGCTTGGAATTTTTCTATTCTTTCAGAGTGGTTGTTTTGCGCATATATATATATATATATATATATATATATATATATATATATATATATATATATATATATTATATATATATATATATATATATATATATATATATATATATATATTATATATTTTTTTTTTTTTTTTTTTTTTTCAACAAGTCGGCCGTCTCCCACCGAGGCAGGGTGACCCAAAAAAAAAAAAAAGAAAATCCCCAAAAAGAAAATACTTTCATCATCATTCAACACTTTCACCACACTCACACATTATCACTGCTTTTGCAGAGGTGCTCAGAATATAACAGTTTAGAAGCATATATGTATAAAGATACACAACATATCCCTCCAAACTGCCAATATCCCAAACCCCTCCTTTAAAGTGCAGGCATTGTTCTTCCCATTTCCAAGACTCAAGTCCGACTATATGAAAATAACCGGTTTCCCTGAATCCCTTCACTAAATATTACCCTGCTCACACTCCAACAGATCGTCAGGTCCCAAGTATCATTCGTCTCCATTCACTCCTATCTAACACGCTCACGCACGCTTGCTGGAAGTCCAAGCCCCTTGCCCACAAAACCTCCTTTACCCCCTCTTTCCAACCCTTTCGAGGACGACCTCTACCCCTCTTTCCTTCCCCTATAGATTTATATGCTTTCCATGTCATTCTACTTTGATCCATTCTCTCTAAATGACGAAACCACCTCAACAACCCCTCTTCTGCCCTCTGACTAATACTTTTATTAACTCCACACCTTCTCATAATTTCCACACTCCGAATTTTCTGCGTAATATTTACACCACACATTGCCCTTAGACAGGACATCTCCACTGCCTCCACCGTCTCCTCGCTGCTGCATTTACCACCCAAGCTTCACATCCATATAAGAGTGTTGGTACTACTATACTTTCATACATTCCCTTCTTTGCCTCCATAGATAACGTTTTTTGACTCCACATATACCTCAACGCACCACTCACCTTTTTTCCCTCATCAATTCTATGATTAACCTCATCCTTCATAAATCCATCCGCCGACACGTCAACTCCCAAGTATCTGAAAACATTCACTTCTTCCATACTCCTCCTCCCCAATTTGATATCCATTTTTCTTTATCTAAATCATTTGATACCCTCATCACCTTACTCTTTTCTATGTTCACTTTCAACTTTCTACCTTTACACCCCATTCTCAAACTCATCCACTAACCTTTGCAATTTTTCTTTAGAATCTCCCATAAGCACAGTATCATCAGCAAAAAGTAACTGTGTCAATTCCCATTTTGAATTTGATTCCCCATAATTTAATCCCACCCCTCTCCCGAACACCCTAGCATTTACTTCTTTTACAACCCCATCTATAAATATACAGTGGACCCCCGGTTAACAAACTTTTTCACTCCAGAAGTATGTTCAGGTGCCAGTACTGACCGAATTTTTTCCCATAAGGAATATTGTGAAGTAGATTAGTCCATTTCAGACCCCCAAACATACACGTACAAACGCACTTACATAAATACACTTACATAATTGGTCGCATTTGGAGGTGATCGTTAAGCGGGGGTCCACTGTTTTAAAAACAACCATGGTGACATTACACATCCCTGTCTAAGACCTACTTTTACCGGGAAGTATTCTCCCTCTCTTCTACACACCCTAACCTGAGCCTCACTATCCTCATAAAAGCTCTTTACAGCATTTAGTAACTTACCACCTATTCCATATACTTGCAACATCTGCCACATTGCTCCTCTATCCACTCTATCATATGCCTTTTCTAAATCCATAAATGCAATAAAACTTCCCTACCTTTATTAAATACTGTTCACATTATGCTTCAATGTAAACACTTGATCTACACATCCCCTACCCACTCTGAAACCTCCTTGCTCGTCCGCAATTCTACATTCTGTCTTACCCCTAATTCTTTCAATTATAACCCTACCGTATACTTTTCCTGGTATACTCAGTAAACTTATTCCTCTATAATTTTTACAATCTCTTTTGTCCCCTTTCCCTTTATATAAAGGGACTATACATGCTCTCCGCCAATCCCTAGGTACCTTCCCCTCTTTCATACATTTATTAAACAAAAGTACCAACCACTCCAACACTATATCCCCCCCTGCTTTTAACATTTCTGTCATGATCCCATCAGTTCCAGCTGCTTTACCCCCTTTCATTCTACGTAATGCCTCACGTACCTCCACCACACTTATATTCTGCTCTTCTTCACTCCTAAAAGATGGTATACCTCCCTGGCCAGTGCATGAAATTACCGCCTCCCTTTCTTCCTTAACATTTAAAAGTTCCTCAAAATATTCTCGCCATCTACCTAATACCTCCCTCTCCCCATCTACTAACTCCCCTACTCTGTTTTTAACTGACAGATCCATACTTTCCCTAGGCTTCTTAACTTGTTTAACTCACTCAAAATTTTTCTTATTTTCATTAAAATTTCTTGACAGTGCCTCTCCCACTCTTTCATCTGCTCTCCTTTTGCACTCTCTCACCACTCTCTTCACCTTTCTTTTACTCTCCATATACTCTGCTCTTCTTATAAACACTTCTGCTTTGTAAAAACCTCTCGTAAGCTACCTTTTTCTCTTTTATCACACCCTTTACTTCATCATTCCACCAATCACTCCTCTTTCCTCCTGCACCACACCCTCCTATAACCACAAACTTCTGCCCCACATTCTAATACTGCATTTTTAAAACTATTCCAACCCTCTTCAACCCCCCACTACTCATCTTTGCACTAGTCCACCTTTCTGCCAATAGTCGCTTATATCTCGCCCGAACTTCCTCCTCCCTTATATATATAGTTATAGGTAATACATATTTTAAGAAAAAGAGGATAAATAAGTATACACGATATGATGTAGGGCGAAATGACAGTAGTTTGTTGGATTATGTATTGGTAGATAAAAGACTGTTGAGTAGACTTCAGGATGTACATGTTTATCGAGGGCCACAGATATATCAGATCACTTTCTAGTTGTAGCTACACTGAGAGTAAAAGGTAGATGGGATACAAGGAGAATAGAAGCATCAGGGAAGAGAGAGGTGAAGGTTTATAAAACTAAAAGAGGAGGCAGTAGGGTAAGATATAAACAGCTATTGGAGGATAGATGGGCTAATGAGAGCATAGGCAATGGGGTCGAAGAGGAATGGGGTAGGTTTAAAAATGTAGTGTTAGAGTGTTCAGCAGAAGTTTGTGGTTACAGGAAAGTGGGTGCAGGAGGGAAGAGGAGCGATTGGTGGAATGATGATGTAAAGAGAGTAGTAAGGGAGAAAAAGTTAGCATATGAGAAGTTTTTTACAAAGTAGAAGTGATGCAAGGAGGGAAGAGTATATGGAGAAAAAGAGAGAGGTTAAGAGAGTGGTGAAGCAATGTAAAAAGAGAGCAAATGAGAGAGTGGGTGAGCTGTTATCAACAAATTTTGTTGAAAATAAGAAAAAGTTTTGGAGTGAGATTAACAAGTTAAGGAAGCCTAGAGAACAAATGGATTTGTCAGTTAAAAATAGGAGAGGAGAGTTATTAAATGGAGAGTTAGAGGTATTGGGAAGATGGAGGGAATATTTTGAGGAATTGTTAAATGTTGATGAAGATAGGGAAGCTGTGATTTCGTGTATAGGGCAAGGAGGAATAACATCTTGTAGGAGTGAGGAAGAGCCAGTTGTGAGTGTGGGGGAAGTTCGTGAGGCAGTAGGTAAAATGAAAGGGGTAAGGCAGCCGGGATTGATGGGATAAAGATAGAAATGTTAAAAGCAGGTGGGATATAGTTTTGGAGTGGTTGGTGCAATTATTTAATAAATATATGGAAGAGGGTAAGGTACCTAGGGATTGGCAGAGAGCATGCATAGTTCCTTTGTATAAAGGCAAAGGGGATAAAAGAGAGTGCAAAAATTATAGGGGGATAAGTCTGTTGAGTGTACCTGGTAAAGTGTATGGTAGAGTTATAATTGAAAGAATTAAGAGTAAGACGGAGAATAGGATAGCAGATGAACAAGGAGGCTTTAGGAAAGGTAGGGGGTGTGTGGACCAGGTGTTTACAGTGAAACATATAAGTGAACAGTATTTAGATAAGGCTAAAGAGGTCTTTGTGGCATTTATGGATTTGGAAAAGGCGTATGACAGGGTGGATAGGGGGGCAATGTGGCAGATGTTGCAAGTGTATGGTGTAGGAGGTAGGTTACTGAAAGCAGTGAAGAGTTTTTACGAGGATAGTGAGGCTCAAGTTAGAGTATGTAGAAAAGAGGGAAATTTTTTCCCAGTAAAAGTAGGCCTTAGACAAGGATGTGTGATGTCACCGTGGTTGTTTAATATATTTATAGATGGGGTTGTAAGAGAAGTAAATGCGAGGGTCTTGGCAAGAGGCGTGGAGTTAAAAGATAAAGAATCACACACAGGGTGGGAGTTGTCCACAGCTGCTCTTTGCTGATGACACTGTGCTCTTGGGAGATTCTGAAGAGAAGCTGCAGAGATTGGTGGATGAATTTGGTAGGGTGTGCAAAAGAAAAAATTAAAGGTGAATACAGGAAAGAGTAAGGTTATGAGGATAACAAAAAGATTAGTGATGAAAGATTGAATATCAGATTGGAGGGAGAGAGTATGGAGGAGGTGAACGTATTCAGATATTTGGGAGTGGAGTGTCAGCGGATGGGTCTATGAAAGATGAGGTGAATCATAGAATTGATGAGGGAAAAAGAGTGAGTGGTGCACTTAGGAGTCTGTGGAGACAGAGAACTTTGTCCTTGGAGCAAAGAGGGGAATGTATGAGAGTATAGTTTTACCAACGCTCTTATATGGGTGTGAAGCATGGGTGATGAATGTTGCAGCGAGGAGAAGGCTGGAGGCAGTGGAGATGTCATGTCTGAGGGCAATGTGTGGTGTGAATAAAAATGCAGAGAATTCGTAGTTTGGAAGTTAGGAGGAGGTGCGGGATTACCAAAACTGTTGTCCAGAGGGCTGAGGAAGGGTTGTTGAGGTGGTTCGGACATGTAGAGAGAATGGAGCGAAACAGAATAACTTCAAGAGTGTATCGTCTGTAGTGGAAGGAAGGGGGGGGTAGGGGTCGGCCTAGGAAGGGTTGGAGGGAGGGGGTAAAGGAGGTTTTGTGTGCGAGGGGCTTGGACTTCCAGCAGGCATGCGTGAGCGTGTTTGATAGGAGTGAATGGAGACAAATGGTTTTTAATACTTGACGTGCTGTTGGAGTGTGAGCAAAGTAACATTTATGAAGGGATTCAGGGAAACCGGCAGGCCGGACTTGAGTCCTGGAGATGGGAAGTACAGTGCCTGCACTCTGAAGGAGGGGTGTTAATGTTGCAGTTTAAAAACTGTAGTGTAAAGCACCCTTCTGGCAAGACAGTGATGGAGTGAATGATGGTGAAAGTTTTTCTTTTTCGGGCCACCCTGCCTTGGTGGGAATCGGCCAGTGTGATTTAATATAATAAAAAAAAAATATATATATTTATATACAGTGGACCCCGCATAACGATGGCATCACATAGCGATTTTTCCGCATACCGATTACTTTTATCGCAAAATTTTTGCCGCGCATACCGATTAAAAACCCGCTTACCGATTTTCGTCCGAGATGCGTCCAATGTGCCCTCAGCCAGCCTCACATGTGCCGGCCGTCCCATTGTTTACCAGCCAGCCTCCGCGGTAACATCCAAGCATACACTCGGAATATTTCGTATTATTACAGTGTTTTCGGTGCTGTTTTCTGGAAAATAAGTGACCATGGGCCCCAAGAAAGCTTCTAGTGCCAACCCTGTGGTAAAAAGGGTGAGAATTAGTATGCGAAATTAAGAAGATTTTGAAGGGTTTGGGGCTAACCCTGAGAAGCCTATGCCAGTTGTGGAATCCATTGTGCCTACTTCAAAGATTAAGGAAATGTGTGCACAGTGGGTTGAACTGCAAACCTTTATAGATGAAATCACCCTGACACAGCTGTTGCAAGCCGTTGCTGGTGACTATTTCAATGACAATGTTGTGGCCCATTTTAGATCAAATCGTAAAGGAACGGGAGGTACAGAGCTCTATGGACAGATTTGTTGTGCGACAGAGGTCCAGTGACTCTCAAGCTGGTCCTAGTGGCATTAAAAGAAGAAGGGAAGTAACCCCGGAAAGGACTTGCTACCTCAAGTCGTAATGGAAGGGGATTCCCCTTCTAAACAGTAAGAAGATAATGCTCTCCCTCCTCCCATCCCATCAATCATCCACCAGATCTTCAATAAAAGTAAGTGTCATGTAATTGTGCATGCCTTTTTCAGTTTGTGTGTATTAAAATTAACATTTCATGTGGTAAAAAAAAATTTTTTTTCATACTTTTGGGCGTCTTGCACGGATTAATTTTATTTCCATTATTTCTTATGGGGAAAATTCATTCGCATAACGATTTTTCGCATAACGATGAGCCCTCTTGCACGGATTAAAATCGTTAACCGGGGGGTCCACTGTATATTATATATATATATATATATATATATATATATATATATATATATATATATATTATATATATAATATAGTATATATATATATTTTTTTTTCAACAAGGCCGTCTCCCACCGAGGAAGGGTTACCCACCGAGGAATGGTGACCCACCGAGGAAGGGTGACCCACCGAGGAAGGGTGACCCACCGAGGAAGGGTGACCCACCGAGGCAGGGTGACCCACCGAGGAAGGGTGACCCACCGAGGAAGGGTGACCCACCGAGGCAGGGTGACCCACCGAGGAAGGGTGACCCACCAAGGAAGGGTGACCCACCGAGGAAGGGTGACCCACAGAGGCAGGGTGACCCACCAAGGAAGGGTGACCCACCGAGGAAGGGTGACCCACCGAGGCAGGGTGACCCACCAAGGAAGGGTGACCCACCGAGGAAGGGTGACCCACCGAGGGTGACCCACCGAGGAAGGGTGACCCACCGAGGAAGGGTGACCCACTGAGGAAGGGTGACCCACCGAGGCAGGTTGACCCATCGAGGCAGTGACCCACCGAGGCAGGGTGACCCACCAAGGAAGGGTGACCCACCGAGGAAGGGTGACCCACCGAGGAAGGGTGACCCACCGAGGCAGGGTGACCCACCGAGGAAGGGTGACCCACCAAGGAAGGGTGACCCACCGGGGAAGGGTGACCCACCCGGGCAGGGTGACCCACCCGGGCAGGGTGACCCACCCAGGCAGGGTGATCCACCAAGGCAGGGTGACCCACCGAGGCAGGGTGACCCACCGAGGCAGAGTGATCCACCGAGGAAGGGTGACCCACCAAGGAAGGGTGACCCACCGAGGCAGGGTGACCCACCGAGGCAGGGTGACCCACCGAGGCAGGGTGACCCACCGAGGCAGGGTGACCCACCCGGGCAGGGTGACCCACCCGGGCAGGGTGACCCACCCGGGCAGGGTGACCCACCCGGGCAGGGTGACCCACCTGGGCAGGGTGACCCACCCAGGCAGGGTGACCCACCGAGGCAGGGTGACCCACCGAGGCAGGGTGACCCACCCAGGCAGGGTGACCCACCGAGGCAGAGTGACCCACCCAGGCAGGGTGACCCACCAAGGCAGGGTGACCCACCGAGGCAGGGTGACCCAAAAAAGAAAGAAAATCCCCAAAATAAAATACTTTCATCATCATTCAACACTTTCACCTCACTCACACATAATCACTGTTTTAGCAGAGGTGCTCAGGACACAACAGTTTAGAAGTATATACGTATAATGATACACAATATATCCCTCCAAACTGCCAATATCCCAAACTCTGCCTTTAGAGTGCAGGCAACATTGTACTTCCCATTTCCAGGACTCAAGTCCGACTATATGAAAATAACCGGTTTCCCTGAATGCCTTCATTAAATATTACCCTGCTCACACTCCAACAGCTCGTCAGGTCCCAAGTATCATTCGTCTCCATTCACTCCTATCTAACACGCTCACGCACGCTTGCTGGAAGTCCAAGCCCCTTGCCCACAAAACCTCCTTTACCCCCTCTTTCCAACCCTTTCGAGGACGACCCCTACCCCGCCTTCCTTCCCCTGTAGATTTATATGCTTTCCATGTCATTCTACTTTGATCCATTCTCTCTAAATGACCAAACCACCTCAACAACCCCTCTTCAGCCCTCTGACTAATACTTTTATTAACTCCACACCTTCTCCTAATTTCCACACTCCGAATTTTCTGCATAATATTTACACCACACATTGCCCTTAGACAGGACATCTCCACTGCCTTCAACTGTCTCCTCGCTGCTGCATTTACCACCCAAGCTTCACATCCATATAAGAGTGTTGGTACTACTATATATATATATATACACACACACACACACATATATATTATTATATTTTATTTGTTTATAATTGATTCATTCTCATAAAGGTGTACAATATATGCATTTTTTGCCAGAAGTCTACAATATGCAAAATATTTTGGTGACACTGGTAGACAGTTGATGTGACGCTCACGTTTTTCAACTTTCCTTAATGTTTTTCTTCCTTCTTCACAGAAACGCGCGAGCAGACTTGCCAAAAAGGCCAAGAAAAAGGGCCTTTCGTTGGCCAAGGCCTCGAACATTCGCAAGGCCAAAATGGCCAAGCGTGGAATACTCACAGAAGCGCAAGCGAAGAAGAGGAAAGAGGAGAGAAAGGCCAGAAGACAGGAGAAGAACGCTGAGATATGGGCCAATAAGAAGAGGGCCAATAGACGGAAGGAACTTTATGCATCGGAGAAAGAAATTTACCCTCTCACTCGAGAAGTCTCAGGTGCTATAATAATAATAATAATCTTTATTTCCACAGGTACAACTTATACAGACCAGAGCTGACATCAGTGACATCCTACTATATAGAAAACCCCTCGTTATGCAGAGCATTTCCCGTAAATTGAGTTAATTTTGTCCCCATGATGCAACCCACACCAGTCCACTTACACACAGGTACCCATTTTACTGCTAGGTGAACAGGGACAGCAGGTGTCTTAAGAAAACACATTCTAATGTTTCCACCTGTACCGGGGATTGAACCACGGACCTCGGTGTGTGAGCTGAGTGCACTACCAACCCAGCTTTGGGAAAGAGGCTGGGTTTGTTTGGTACCTGAGGTACTGAAGCATTCTCTTGACTTGTTTTGGGAAAAGATTGGACAGATACGTGGGTGGGAAGGATTGATTTTGAGATAGACCTACCTAGTATAGGCCAGTAGGTCCAAGATATACTTGTAATAACAAGCTTAGTTTTGTCTTTTTTTATGATATTGCATAGTATAAAAAACCACAATACCTTGGCTTCAATAATGCACAAAATAAAACTTGCACTTAGGAGAGGTACCTTATGACAATGTTTTGGTCCTTCCTGGACCAAAGGTTGTGACTTAACAATGCACTTTGTCAGTGAAAATTGTTCAAAGAACCATAGCGTACACCAGTTTAGGGTACGGGACAACTTTATTAGATACACATGTGTTTGTACAGTGGTATCCTGAGTTTCGGCCATAATTCGTTCCAGAAGGCTGTTCGAGTGCCGTTACTGAATGAATTTGTTCCCATAAGGAATAATGTAAATTAGATTAGTCTGTTTCAGACCCCCAAAAAATACACTTACAAAAGCACTTACAGTAATACACTTACATAATTGTTCGAGTTGGGAGCTGTATGAAACTCGAGTTACCACTGTATTACTGTATGCATATGTCAAAAAAGGCTTAATTCTGACATCCCAGTGTATCTTCTCTCTTCAATATTTTATATTTTTTTAGTGTGATATATAACTCAATTATCATATGCTTGTGTAATTTGTTTTCTTTCCAATATTATTATTATTATAATCATGGGGGAGCGCTAAACTCATAGGATTATACAGTACATGTGGAGGGGGTATGGAAGGTATTCAGGCATAATTCAGGGAACCGGAGCACAGATCTAATTCCCTGGTTCCCTAGTTCCCTTTAGGGTTTTTTTCCAATAGTCGGATTAACCCTTTGACTGTCGCGGCTGTATATATACGTCTTACGAGGTACCGTGTTTGACGTATATATACTCATAAATTCTAGCAGCTTCAAATCAAGCAGGAGAAAGCTGGTAGGCCCACATGTGAGAGAATGGGTCTGTGTGGTCAGTGTGCACCATATAAAAAAAATCCTGGAGCACGCAGTGCATAATGAGAAAAAAAAAACTGACCGTTTTTTTTAATTAAAATGCCGACTTTGTGGTCTATTTTCATATAGTATTTATGGTTGCATTCTCGTTGTCTTGGTCTCATTTGATAGAATGGAAAACATATTATAGAAATAGAGGTGATTTTGATTGATTTTGCTATAAAAAGAACCTGGAAATGGAGCTCAAAGTAGGGCAAATGTTTGATTCTTGCCAATGTTCAAAAGTAAACAAATGATGTCATTGTCCAATAAATGTCCAACTAGCCATTCTAATATGCAGTGATGAATGGGTTGATGTTATTTATACAATTATTGCAGTATTGCAGTAGTCTGCATAATAGTAAGTCTTCTATTTTTTTTTTTTGAATAAAAATTCAAAATAGAAAGCAAGAGTAATATCAGAGAGGCCTGGAGACATGACTGATGAACAAAGAAAATGTTATTTTAGAGCCAGGAATGTCTGCATTGTTCATTCTGGACCTTATTTTGAAATTGTCATATTTTTTAATTTTCGTGAAATTGGCCAAATTGCAAATTTCTGACCACATTATTGGGTAGTTGAAATCAGTAAATGGGCAGCTTCTTGTACTCAATCGATAGAAAAAATGGAGTTCTAAAGAAATAGCTACGAGTTTGGTCGACTGGAACAACGGAATTAGCCGAAAATAGGGCTCAAAGTGGGCGAAATCGCCGATTTGTAAATATCGCCGAGGTCGCTAACTTCGCGAGAGCATAATTCCGTCAGTTTTCCATCAAATTTCGTTTTTTTTGGTGTCATTACCATCGGGAAAAGATTCTCTATCATTTCATAAGAAAAAATTTTTTTTTTTTTAAATTTTGCGACACCAGGAGACACCTCAGGATTGGGGGTTGCGACAGTCAAAGGGTTAAAATTCCAAGTGTTACGGAATAAAAGCTGGACCTTCACTTTAGGATATACACTTAGGATATACACTTGGAATATACATTTGAGATATATAATGGTGTTGGTTGTGATGAAGAAAATGTCACAATATCATGGCTGGAACAATTTACAACTGACACACAATATGGAGATGGAATTTGAAATGACTTTATAATGGTTCATCTTAAGTTTCATCTCCAAATTTTGAAGTCATGAGCTGTTTACAATTTTAGTAGCTATTCAATGTTTATAAAATTCAAATAAACATTTTGTGTTGCAGGAGAGGAGATGATGGATATGATGGACCCTGAAGATCTCGACTACCTAGTCAAGACGTGAGTAACAAAGCTGCGACTATACTCTGGCAATATTATTTTCTTTTTTTTAACACACTGGCTGTCTCCCACTGAGGCAGGGTGACCTGGGAAAGAAGAAATCTTCTTGTAAGGTTTTTCATCTTGTTGCATTTAATAATTTATACAGAAGGAGGTTACTAGCCCCTTACTACTGGCATTTTAGTCTCCTCTTATGACATGCATGGTTTACAAAGGAAGGATTCTTCTCCATTTTCCCATGGTGTTGCAGTATATATCAATGACTTATCTTAGTCGCCAGTGCTCTTCTCTACACTTTAAACTCAACACGTATCTGTGCTTGCTGATGAACAGGCGATACATACCGTATTTAGTGTATTTTGCAGTTTGCCTTATGCAGTTGCTTAAAAAAATTTAAACTTACATAAAGGAGGTAAGGTTCTGGGCTACTGCTGTACAGGAGGGCCCTGCTTATACAGCCGCTGTAAAGCAAAAATCACTATAAAGCAAAACATAGACCTTTTTCACTTTCAAATACAGTGGACCCCCGGTTAACGATATTTTTTCACTCCAGAAGTTTCAGGTGCCAGTACTGACCGAATTTGTTCCCATAAGAAATATTTAAGTAGATTAGTCCATTTCAGACCCCCAAACATACACATACAAACGCACTTACATAAATACACTTACATAATTGGTCACATTCAGAGGTAATCGTTATGCGGGGGTCCACTGTACATATAAAAGCCTTATAACATGTTTACACTATCATATATTAAATGAGCAATAGAGCTAGGCCTAACAAATGCATATACAGTACACACATTACTTACCTTAAAATATTTTCATTCTTAGCTTATAGTGAATGGTGAATATATTTATTGTAAGAAGTCTGAATGGGTATAACTGAAAATCATTGTATGTATTAGCAAAACACCATAAGGTGAAGTGCTGTACAGCATGGCTTGCCTGTAGGTTTAGTAGCAGAGATGTAAGCTGTGGCTTACATCTCTTTCTATTAATGTTGGTAGAATTACCCACAATTCTTTCTTTTTTTCTTTCAACACCGGCCGTATCCCACCGAGGCAGGGTAGCCTAAGATGAAAAACGAAAGTTTCTCCTTCAACATTTAGTAATATATACAAGAGAAGGGGTTACTAGCCTCTTGCTCCCGGCATTTTAGTCGTCTCTTACCACGCGCATGGCTTACGGAGGAAGAATTCTGTTCCACTTCCCATGGAGATAAGAGGAAATACACAAGAACTAGTAAGAAAATAGAATAAAACCCAGAGGGGTGTGTATATATACGCTTGTACGTGCATGTGTAGTGTGATGTAAGTGTAGTAGAAGTAGCAAGATGTACCTGAACTCTTGCATGTTTATGAGACAGAAAAAAAGACACCAGCAATCCTACCATTGTGTAAAACAATTACAGGCTTTTGTTTTACACTCACTTGGCGAGATGGTAGTACCTCCCTGGGAATTATCAGTAATATATTAGGTATAAGGACACAAGTGCAACTAATGTGACATTTTATTGTGGCAATGTTTTGCCCTCCAGGAGCTTGATAACAGCTTGATAAAGCTCCTGGAGAGCGAAACGTTGCCACAATAAAATGTCATATTACCTAACGTCTCTGTCTATGTCAGATATGAGGATGAAGAACAGGATGGGAGCGAGTACTGTGCCTTGTGGAACAGAGCTTTTCACTGTAGCTGCCTCAGAGTTTACTCTGTTTACTATTACTCTTTGTGTTCATATAACAGTGACTAGCAAATTTAAGCCTAAAACACCATCATCATATAATTGTTTTTTATTTTAAAGCTCAAAATAGAGTAATTTTGTATTATAGCATGGACTGCAGATCATAATTGTAATATTCTGTCACTGAAATGTAGATGATAATGTGTTGTATGGTAGTGTTATTGTGAAATAACTTTACAACCTGGCCCATGGCTGGGCTCTGGGAGTAGAAAAACTCTTGGAACTCATCAAAGGTATATTGAAGGTAGAGGTAAAGCAGGTCATATCTATTATCTCACACTGCCAGGTGCTGTGTGACCCCTGTGAGTTGTTACTACTCCTTTGAATACAAAAATAAAAATATGGTACAGGTATTGCTCAACTTATGATGGGGTTACGTTCTGACAAATGCGTCATGCATCAGAAAATATCCTAAATTGAATATGAATATGATATTTTTATTTTATTTTATTATCACACTGGCCGATTCCCACCAAGGACAGGGTGGCCCGAAAAAGAAAAACTTTCACCATCATTCACTCCATCACTGTTTTGCCAGAAGGGTGCTTTACACTACAGTTTTTAAACTGCAACATTAACACCCCTCCTTCAGAGTGCAGACACTGTACTTCCCATCTCCAGGACTCAAGTACGGCCTGCCGGTTTCCCTGAACCTCTTCATAAATGTTACTTTGCTCACACTCCAACAGCACGTCAAGTCTCCATTCACTCCTATCAAACACGCTCACGCATGCCTGCTGGAAGTCCAAGCCCCACGCACACAAAACCTCCTTTACCCCCTCCCTCCAACCTTTCCTAGGCCGACCCCTACCCCTAAATAAATAAGTAAATAAATAACTACTGTTACTGAATAAGTAAATAAAAAGGTAATTACAGTAACTAACTAAATACCAGTATTGAAAAGTCAGTAAATGAATGCAAATTGTGGATTTGCCGCCTTCATGCTGGATGTTCATCTTAAGTTCTGTCTCCAAAGTAATTGCTTTTGCAGCATCGTAAAATGAAAATATTGTAAGTCAAACCATTGTAAGTTGAGAAGTGCCTGTATTGGTGTCTTTTAGTCACATATTCTCATGTAAATGGGAAGAACCACATTCCCATAATTTTTAATCTTTGTTTGCAGAGAAGGAAAGAAGAGGAAACACGAGGCAACAGAAGATGGGCAAAGAGGCGACAGCATCGAATCAATCGAGGATGAGGAACGAAGCTTTGATAAAGACAGTTATATGAAAAATATGAGAAAGCTTCTTCCTGTGAAGACTGATAAAGGCATTATCTCACGATACACAGATATGGAAGGTAAGTACACAGGCTCTGGATTATTAAACATTGCTTGATACAGTGGTCTGATTCATACACAAATAATCTGCACATAGGAGAGAAGCTTCGGTCCAACTTGTACTGAAATATTGTCGTAAGGTTGTGTTTCCTATGTGCAAGTTATTTGTGAGTTCTCCAGTCACGGTGTTGTGCCTTTTTGTTCTTGAATGATGATCACATTTCCCGGTACTAAAGAGTGGTGATCCACCTGGAAAAAGATGAAATTATCTTTCTGGAAAGAAAACTAAAGAGCCCATATGGAAGTGTGAGGTAATGTGACCTAAAAAGAAAAACAAAGTTTTTTTTCTTTATAATTTTTTAATTTACAGAGGAGAAGGGGTTACTAGCCCCTTGCTTTTGGCATTTTATTTGCATCTTATGACATGCATGGCACTTTTTATTTATATTGATGTTTATTGTTTTCATCAATTTTCAAATACAGTGGACCCCCGGTTAACGATATTTTTTCACTCCAGAAGTATGTTCAGGTGCCAGTACCAACCGAATTTGTTCCCATAAGAAATATTGTGAAGTAGATTAGTCCATTTCAGACTCCCAAACATACACGTACGAACGCACTTACATAAATACACTTACATAATTGGTCACATTCGGAGGTAATCGTTATGCGGGGGTCCACTGTATTTTCATTTATTATTTTTACTTTTGCATCTTTTTTTTAGGCCTCATGCTATTTCTTCTTTCTTCTTTCAACAAACCGGCCGTATCCCACCGAGGTGGGGTGGCCCAAAAAGAAAAACGAAAGTTTCTCCTTTTAAATTTAGTAATATATACTGGAGAAGAGATTACTAGCCCCTTGCTCCCGGCATTTTAGTCGCCTCTTACGACATGCATGGTTAAGGAGGAAGAATTCTGTTCCACTTCCCCATGGAGGTAAGAGGAAATAAACAAGAACAAGAACTAGTAAGAAAACCCAGAGGGGTGTGTATATATATGCTTGTACATGTATGTGTAGTGTGACCTAAGTGTAAGTAGAAGTAGGAAGATGTACCTGAAATCTTGCATGTTTATGAGACAGAAAAATGGACACCAGCAATCCTATGATCATGTAAAACAATTACAGGTTTCCATTTTACACTCACCTGGCAGGACGGTTGTACCTCCCTGGGCGGTTGCTGTCTACCAACCTACTACCTAGGACTCGAGCTATTGTGCACTCAATAAATAATAGTATAAACATGTTTATAGGTTTTATGTGCCCTGGCAAGTGAAAAAGAGGGTACAGTTCATTTTAAGGCAATATTTGCATTACGGCGGTGGTTCGGAACCTAACCTGTTGTATTAGTGATGTATGCCTGTATGCGCTTTACTTTGTCCTATCTCTGTATCAAATAATATTCACAGAAGTGACCGAAGATGGAGAGGTCATGGAGGAGGATAAAACAGAACATGAAACCAAGCTAAAAGTGAAATCCACTGTGGATTTTCTGGTTGAGCGACAACAGAAGCTGGAGGAGAAGAAAATCAAGATTGGGTGTCTGGCTGCCAATTTCCTGGTTGAACCGGAGGAGAGGGTAAGCAATGTGCCATGCACTGCAACTGTTTTTTTCTTTGCAATCACTATAAGTTATCTTTTATTTGTTAACTAGTCTGTCTACTCATCTTAACATGGACTTTTTTATTATCTGTCTGTCTACAGATATCACTATTTATCTGTTTAATTAAGGGGTTATTGTAATCTTCATAAGTTATCCTTCTATTTATTTGTTCACCAGTCTATCAATTGGTCTTTCCATCGGTGTTTTTTTCTTATTTACAGATATCTTATTATTTACCTGTTTAATGGAAATAAGTCACTTTATTTGACTTTTATGGGTTATTCTAATTTACAATATGTATGATAATTGTACTAAATAAACTGTTTTAATTAATGGGGTCATTTAATTGTAATCTTAATGAATCATCTTTCTATTTATTTACTAGTCTGTCTGCTGGTCTTTCCACTGATGTTTGGGAACAAGACTACAAATGTTCTGCTTAACATAATGATAAACAGTTCATCTGTCACAAAGCTCACAGAGGGAAAATTCTTAGGAATCCACCTTGATAATAGACTCAAATTTCAAACACACGTACAACAAATTTCCAAGAAAATCTCCAAGACCGTAGGCATACTATCAAAGATATGGTACTGTGTTCCACAATCAGCTCTCCTTGCCTTATATCACTCACTTATTTACCCCTATCTCACCTATGGAATCTGTGCATGGAACTCAACAACAATAAATCATCTCAGACCATTAATAACTCAAAAGGCTGCAGTCAGAATGATAACAAATTCCCCCTCCAGGCAGCATACTCCAACAATATTCATAATTCTAAACTTACCATACAAAACATCCATACTTATTATTGTGCCTACTACATACATAGAACACTAAACTCAGATATAAACCCTCCCCTCAAACTTCTCCTTACCAACCTCAACAGAACACACGACCATAACACAAGACACAGATCACTCTTTATATTCCCCGTGTCCATCTCACACTAAGTAAAAACTCAATGCACATAAAAGGCCCAAAAATTTGGAATCATTACCTGTGAATACAAAAGAAGCACTATCTGTTTATCAGTTCAAGACTCTTCTTAAAAACCACTTACTCACCCAAAACCCACCTACAAAATTAACAAAACACTTTCTACTGCCTCAAAATATCATTAAACACTGTTACTTTACTAGCCTCAGAACCCCATAATTAAATGCACAAAGGTCAATAAATATTGAATAACTGTATTTCATAAATGTATAACCCGTGCCCCTATCAAACTATGTTTTTATTTGCATTACCTAATAGAATAATCTATTCTCTTGAATGCACAGTAACTCATCTAATGACCATATGAGCTGTTTCTTTACTACAAATCGTTGATTTTATTCAATTTAATTGGATTAATAAATTGTATGACTACATATAGTAAATTGATCATTTTGTTATATTATACACTGTAATGCTACAAATTTGTACGACTATAATGCTTCATAATTGAAATGTTCAGATTTCATTGTTTAAATTACCCATTTGTACTCCTTATTGTAAATTGTTTACTATAATTTTTACCACTGAATCTATCATTGCTTAGTTTAATCTTAAGTTAATTTTAATCCTGCCCATAATGCTCTGCATACAGAGTAGTTGAAATTTGTCTTCAATGATAATCATAACAGACCAAGAGACAAAGATTGCAGCCAGGTATGCCAGCACGTCCCCATAGGCAACAATTCACCTTACAATAGCTGCCATCAATGATATTGACAGTTGGCATGTACACCCAACTACTATAATTCCTTGTACAACTATGTATCATGCCCATATAAACTATATTATATTATATAGCAAAATATTCAAGGAGTATTTTGTACTGTCTCCAGACAAACTCTCGTTGGCCACCTATTCTGCCACATATATAATGACATATTTAATTCATTCTAGAGTATATATCAGGTTTCTATGTTATTTATATTGTTTGTTATGTCATATTAGATTAACTGTGATAGATAAATAAGCCGTAGAGTTGATATTAAGGAAATTGTTGAAGTACAGAATTCCACTGGAAGGGATTAATTGCATTTCAGTTAATTTAAATGAGGAAAATTGACTCTGCAAACGAGCAAAGCCAGTTGCGATCAAAGCCAGTTGCGAGCAAGGTCACAGAACAGATTAAAGCCGCAAGTAGAGGTTCCAATGTACAGTGGACCCCCGCTTTACGATCACCTCCCAATGCGACCAATTATGTAAGTGTATTTATGTAAGTGCGTTTGTACGTGTATGTTTGGGGGTCTGAAATGGACTAATCTAATTCACAATATTCCTTATGGGAACAAATTCATTCAGTACTGGCACCTGAACATACTTCTGGAATGAAATAATATCGTAAACCGGGGGTCCACTGTATTTATAACTGGGATCAGTCTTAAAATCGCGTTGTAATGTTATACAACTTGTGCAGAATAATTCCTGTTGGGCTTTTGGCATGATATTTGCCCAGTGGCTTATTGTAATTAAGGAGAAATGTAAAATAAATCTATAATATGAAGAATTAGGCACATGTGCAACATCTGGGTATTTTTATTTGTAGACGTTTTGCCATCCAGTGGCTTTATTAGTGCAATTCAGGGACATAATGAGAAGCCTGTAGAACTGTATACAAATCCTGAGGTAATCAGTCCCTCAGAGACTGACTGATGGTAGGATACACTGACAAGTATGTAAATATGCCAGTATGACGTAAACTGAATGTTGTCTTATTTACAAGAAGAATAAAAAGGCACAACAGTACACAAATAACCCGCTCACAGGAGACTGAAACATATGATAACATTACAGTCCAACTTAGACCATTAACTAGCTACAAACAAGTGCAAAGCAAAGGGAGCTAGAAAGGCTTGTGTGTGACTAGTTAATTGTACAACTTGGACCTGTTATTTTTATATAGCCGGACTTGAGTCCTGGAAATGGGAAGTACAATGCCTGCACTCTAAAGGAGAGGTTCGGGATATTGGCAGTTTGGAAAGGATATGTTGTGTATCTTAATACGTATATACTTCTAAGCTGTTGTGTTCTGAGCACCTCTGCAAGAACAGTGATTATGTGTGGGTGAGGTGAAAGTGTTGAATGATGGTGAAAGTATTTTCTTTTTGGGGATTTTCTTTCTTTTTTGGGTCACCCTGCCTCGGTGGGAGACGGCCGACTTGTTGAAAATAAATAAATTTTTTTTTTTTTAACAAGTCGGCCATCTCCCACCGAGGCAAGGTGACCCAAAAAGAAAGAAAATCCCCAAAAAGAAAATACTTTCATCATCATTCAACACTTTCACCTCACTCACACATAATCACTGTTTTTGTAGAGGTGCTCAGGATACAACAGTTTAGAAGCATATACGTATAAAGATACACAACATATCCCTCCAAACTGCTAATATCCCAAAACCCCTCCTTTAAAGTGTGGGCATTGTACTTCCCATTTCCAGGACTCAAGTCCGGCTATATAAAAATAACTGGTTTCCCTGAATCCCTTCACTAAATATTACCCTGCTCACACTCCAACAGATCGACAGGTCCCAAATACCATTCGTCTCCATTCACTATCGAACACGCTCATGCACGCCTGCTGGAAGTCCAAGCCCCTCGCCCACAAAACCTCCCTTACCCCTTCCTTCCAACCTTTTCGAGGACGACCCCTGATCCGTCTTCCTTCTCCTACAGATTTAAATGCTCTCCATGTCATTTTACTTTGATCCATTCTCTCTAAATGACCAAACCACCTTAACAACCCCTCTTCAGCCCTCTGACTAATACTTTTATTAACCCTTTGAGGGTCGACAGGCCCTCACCAAGACTTGTTCTCAGGGTCGGCCAAATTTCAAAAAAAAAAAAAATTCTTATGAAAAGATAGAGAATCTTTTCCCGATCATAATGACACCAAAAGTATGAAATTTGATGGAAAACTTAGGGAATTATGCTCTCGCGAAGTTAGCGGTCTTGACGATGTTTATGCATCGGTGATTTTGCCCACTTTGAGCTCTATTTTTGGCCAATTCCAATGTACTAGTTGACAAAAATCATAACTATTTCGCTAGAATTCTATTTTTTGTATCAAATGAGTACAAGAAACCACCCATTTACTGATTTCAACTATCCAATAAAGTGGTCAGAATTTAGCAATTTTGCCAATTTCACACAAATTTCAAAGATGCCAATTTCCGAATAGGGTCCAGAATAAACAAGAAAGACATTCCTGGCGCTAAAATAACAAGTTCTTTGTTCGTTAGTCACATCTCTAGGCCCCTCTTATATTTCTTTGGCTTTCCACTTTCAATTTTTATTCTTACAAAAAATAGAAGATTTACTGTTATGCAGACTACTGCATTAGTGCAAAAATGGTATAAATAATATCAGCGCACTTGTGAAAGAATATTAAACTCATCAGTTGACGTGTATTGGACGCTTGGCATGATTTGTTTACTTTTGAACTTTGGTAAAAATCGAACATTTCCGCTACTTTGAGCTCAATTTCAAGGCACTTTTCATTGTAAAATCAGTCAAAATCATCTCAATTTCTGTAATATGTCTTCCATTCTATAAAATGAGACCAAGAAAACTAGAATACAACAATAAATAACATACGAAAATACAGTGCAAAGTCGCTGTTTTATTCCAAAAACACGGTCAAAGTCTTTTTTTCCTCATTATGCACTGTGTGCTGCAGGATTTTTTTTTATACTGCACACATTGACAACATAGACCCATTCTTTCATATGTAGGCCTACCAGTTTTCTCCCACTAGATTTGAGGGCGCTAGAATTTAGGCATACTATTACGTCAAAAAAAACCCTGGGTTGTAAGCCGTTCTAGTACGGCAGAAACCCTCAAAGGTTTAACTCCACACCTTCTCCTAATTTCCACACTCCGAATTTTCTGCATAATATTTACACCACACATTGCCCTTAGACAGGACATCTCCACTGCCTCCAACCGTCTCCTCGCTGCTGCATTCACAACCCAAGCTTCATACCCATATAAGAGTGTTGGTACTACTATACTTTCTTACATTCCCTTCTTTGCCTCCATAGATAACGTTTTTTTGACTCCACATATACCTCAACGCACCACTCACCTTTTTTCCCTCATCAATTCTATGATTAACCTCATCCTTCATAAATCCATCCGCCGACACATCAACTCCCAAGTATCTGAAAACATTCACCTCTTCCATACTCCTCCTCCTCAATTTGATATCCAATTTTTCTTTATTTAAATCATTTGATACCCTCATCACCTTACTCTTTTCTATGTTCACTCTCAACTTTCTACCTTTACACACACTCCCAAACTCATCCATTAACCTTTATTTATATATATTTTTTTTTTTTCAACAAGTCGGCCGTCTCTCACCGAGGCAGGGTGACCCAAAAAAGAAAGAAAATCCCCAAAAAGAAAATACTTTCATCATCATTCAACACTTTCACCACACTCACACATTATCACTGCTTTTGCAGAGGTGCTCAGAATACAACAGTTTAGAAGCATATACGTATAAAGATACACAACACATCCCTCCAAACTGCCAATATCCCAAACCCCTCCTTTAAAGTCCAGGCATTGTTCTTCCCATTTCCAAGACTCAAGTCCGACTATATGAAAATAACCGGTTTCCCTGAATCCCTTCACTAAATATTACCCTGCTCACACTCCAACAGATCGTCAGGTCCCAAGTACCATTTGTCTCCATTCACTCCTATCTAACACGCTCACGCACGCTTGCTGGAAGTCCAAGCCCCTTGCCCACAAAACCTCCTTTACCCCCTCTCTTCAACCCTTTCGAGGACGACCCCTACCTCGCCTTCCTTCCCCTATAGATTTATATGCTTTCCATGTCATTCTACTTTGATCCATTCTCTCTAAATGACCAAACCACCTCAACAACCCCTCTTCTGCCCTCTGACTAATACTTTTATTAACTCCACACCTTCTCCTAATTTCCACACTCCGAATTTTCTTCATAATATTTACACCACACATTGCCCTTAGACAGGACATCTCCACTGCCTCCAACCGTCTCCTCGCTGCTGCATTTACCACCCAAGCTTCACACCCATATAAGAGTGTTGGTATACTATATACTTTCATACATTCCCTTCTTTGCCTCCATAGATAACGTTTTTTGACTCCACATATACCTCAATGCACCACTCACCTTTTTTCCCTCATCAATTCTATGATTAACCTCATCCTTCATAAATCCATCCGCCGACACGTCAACTCCCAAGTATCTGAAAACATTCACTTCTTCCATACTCCCTCCCCAATTTGATATCCAATTTTTCTTATTTAAATCATTTGATACCCTCATCACCTTACTCCTTTCTATGTTCACTTTCAACTTTCTACCTTTACACACATTCCCAAACTCATCCACTAACCTTTGCAATTTTTCTTTAGAATCTCCCATAAGCACAGTATCATCAGCAAAAAGTAACTGTGTCAATTCCCATTTTGAATTTGATTCCCCATAATTTAATCCCACTCCTCTCCCGAACACCCTAGCATTTACTTCTTTTACAACCCCATCTATAAATATATTAAACAGCCATGGTGACATTACACATCCCTGTCTAAGACCTACTTTTACTGGGAAGTATTCTCCCTCTCTTCTACACACCCTAACCTGAGCCTCACTATCCTCTTAAAAACTCTTAACAGCATTTAGTAACGTACCACCTATTCCATATACTTGCAACATCTGCCACATTGCTCCTCTATCCACTCTATGATATGCCTTTTCTAAATCCATAAATGGAATAAAACTTCCCTACCTTTATCTAAATACTGTTCACATATATGCTTCAATGTAAACACTTGATCTACACATCCCCTACCCACTGTGAAACCTCCTTCCTCATCTGCAATCCTACATTCTGTCTTACCTCTAATTCTTTCAATTATAACCCTACCGTACACTTTTCCTGGTATACTCAGTAAACTTATTCCTCTATAATTTTTACAATATCTTTTGTCCCCTTTCCCTTTATATAAAGGGACTATACGTGCTCTCCGCCAATCCCTAGGTACCTTCCCCTCTTTCATACATTTATTAAACAAAAGTACCAACCACTCTAACACTATATCCCCCCTGCTTTTAACATTTCTGTGATGATCCCATCAGTTCCAGCTGCTTTACCCCCTTTCATTCTACGTAATGCCTCACGTACCTCCCCCACACTTACATTCTGCTCTTCTTCACTCCTAAAAGATGGTATACCTGCCTGGCCAGTGCATGAAATTACCACCTCCCTTTCTTCCTCAACATTTAAAAGTTCCTCAAAATATTCTCGCCATCTACCTAAAACCTCCATCTCCCCATCTACTAACTCCCCATACTTTCCCTAGGCTTTCTTAACCTGTTTAACTCACTCCAAAATTTTTTCTTATTTTCATTAAAATTTCTTGACAGTGCCTCTCCCACTCTATCATCTGCTCTCCTTTTGCACTCTCTCACCATTCTCTTCACCTTTCTTTTACTCTCCATATACTCTGCTCTTCTTATAACACTTCTGCTTTGTAAAAACCTCTCATAAGCTACCTTTTTCTCTTTTATCACACCCTTTACTTCATCATTCCACCAATCACTCCTCTTTCCTCCTGCACCCACCTTCCTATAACCACAAACTTCTGCCCCACATTCTAATACTGCATTTTTAAAACTATTCCAACCCTCTTCAACCTGCCCCCCCTACTACTCATACTTGCTGCCACCTTGCTGCCCCCACTACTCATACTTGATGCTACCTTACTGCCAATAGTTGCTTATATCTCACCCGAACTTCCTCCTCCCTTAGTTTATACACTTTCACTTTGTGTATGTGAGTGGGTGTGACTTGGATCTGACTAGCTTGGGCCAGTAGGTGACTTGGGCCTGCCTAGCGTGGGCCAGTGGGCCTGCTGCAGTGCTCCTTATGTTCTTGTGTTGTCATATTTTCAGTTGTCTGGGCTGTCCAGTTTAGTGAACTTCATGGACGAGTCTGACCCAGATGTTGCAGTCACTGTCAAGAAGTACGCAGCTCTCAGCCTGCTGGAGGTCTTCCACAGCATTATCCCCTCATATTACATCGTCGCCCACGACATGGAGAGGAAATGTAAGAATGACGACTGTCTTTTATAGCATTGTAATTAGTGCCATCTTCAGTAGACAACCACAGATGAAGTGCAACAGTTTGTTCATCATTTGTACTGTTTTGAGAAATACTCATGCATATTTTTTTCTTTAACGCTTGGGCCATCTTCCACTTAGGTTAGATAACTTAAAAAAGAAGCTTTCACCATCATTCACACTATCACTGTCTTGCCAGAGGTACACAGATATGACAGGTTAGTTGTCCCTCCAATATTAAATATCTCTAACCCTTCCTTTACAGTGCAGGCATTATACTTCCCACCTCCAGGATTCAAGTCTGGCTAATCGGAATATTTTTAAAGGATTTCTGATTTAGTGGGCACTCGGAGAATCTTTCCTATTAATGCATTATAGTGAGGGTTTACTGTACTGGATAATGCATCATGTTCGTAAGTTGTGATAACAATCATAGGTCTCCCTCGGTGCACATTGTGTGTTTTCCAGCATTGTCAGCTCACAGCCATACATAAAAAAAGAAGTAGCACTGCAGCAGGCCTACTGGCTTGCTAGCACACTACTCAGCTCACACTGAAGTCTGTGGTTTGATCCCCAGTACGGGTGGAAACATAGGATGGGTTTCAAGACACCTGCTGTCCACATTTACCCAGCAGTAAAATAGGTACCCTAGTGTTAGTAAACTGATATAGGTCACATCCTGGGGACAAAATTGACCTAATTTACCCAAAATGCTCTGTATAACAAAGGGCTTTCTATATAGTAGTATGTCATTGATGTCAGCAATAGTCTGTATACTTTGTACATGTACTTGTAGAAATAAAGGTTATTATTATTGTTAGTTATATTGGCAGTTTGGAGGGATATGTTGTGTATCTTTATATGTTTATGCTTCTAGACTGTTGTATTCTGAGCACCTCTGCAAAAACAGTGATAATGTGCGAGTGTGGTGAAAGTGTTGAATGATGATGAAAGTATTTTCTTTTTGGGGATTTTCTTTCTTTTTTGGGTCACCCTGCCTCGGTGGGAGACGGCCGACTTGTTGAAAAAAAAAAAAAAAAAAAAAAAAAAATTATTGTTATGTAAAAGGACACGTGCAACTAATGCAACATTTCATTGTGGCAACGCTTGGCTCTCCAGGAGCTTTGTTGAGCAGTTGCAATACCAACATTATTACACTGTTGAAGTTGTAGTGAGTTTTATTTTCAGTAAAAAATTAAACTTTGTATACAATAATAATTTTTTACAGCAATATGGATATAGGTATTTTGTTTATGTTTCAGTAAAGAAAGTAACAAAGAAGATGTATTTTTATGAAAACCAAATGTTATCAGCCTACCAGCTCTACCTTAAAGGTCTGGAAGATATGTTGAAATCAGAGAAGAGGAGAGAGAAGATGAAGACAGGTGGTAAAAATCCAGCAATTAAGGTATGTCTTGACTTATATCGGCATACAGGTGCTCCTCCACAATGGGGGTTCAACTTACAATATTTCGACTTTATGATGGTGCCAGAGCAAATTACTTTGGAGATAAAACTTAGGAAAATTACCCAGCATGAAGGTGGCAAGTCTGTAACTTGTATTTATTTACTTTTCGTTACTGATATTAAGTTACAGTAATTATTTGTTTACTTATTCAGTGACAGTCTTATTTATTTACTTATCATGCATTCATATTTGACTTAAAATATTTTTACCTATGGATTTGTCAAAACGTAACCCCAACTTAAGTTGAGGAACACCTGTGTACCTGAGTGTGTATATTAAGACTTAAATCATTTGGCAGACTAAATATATTTGTGGCTTTTAGAAATTTATAGTTATTTTAAATGTATCTAGAAGGATGTTTTTTGCTAGTATGTGAACTATCAGTACTGTAATTTTATTTTGATATTGTGATGATTTTGAGCTGTAAAACTTATAATTTTTTGTATCTAAGACTTTCATTTGCTCATTTAGTTAAATACTTGATTTCATCATGTGTACCTTTGAATACATATACTAAATTAAAATTTTGGAGAAAGAAACTGCAGTGACATTTTGGCTCGGCCTGGACCAATAACTAGTAACACAGTACTAGCCACTATTCCAAATTGGACCAAAATGTCGTTGTAAGTTTGAGTCTTCTGTGTGCAGGTTGTTTGTGTTTTGTCTAAAATGCTGAATGTAATATTGGCTTTGTGAAGCGGTGAAGTAATGCGTATAGAATGGGTTTAAGTTGGATAAATTTAGATTTAGAAAGGACTTAGATACTGGTTTGCAAACAGAATTGTTGATGTGTGGAAGAAACTTCCGAGTAGGGTAATAGAGGCTAATACACTTACCACACAGATGTATTCTCTCATATCTAGGCCCAAATTTACCACTCACAGCTTATCTGAGTGAGCTGAGCTCACGGCGTAGAACTATGGTTTGAATAAAAATTCATCATGTGAATAAAAAATCAAAATGGAATTTATTAGTAAAGCCTGAAAACGTAACTAATGAACAGAGGAAATGTTAATTTAGTGCCAGGAATGCCTGCATTGTTTATTCTGGACCCTATTTTGAAATAGGAATATTTTGAACTTTGTGTTAAATTGGCCAAATTACCAATTTCCGATCACTTTATTGGGTAGTTGAAACAGTTGACTTGGTGATTTCTTGTACTCAGTCGATAAAATAGAAGTAATGCTAACGCAATGGCTAAGAATTTGGTCGACTGGAATAATGTAATTGGCTTAAAATGGGAGTCAAAGTCGGCAAAATTGCCGATGCGTAAATATCGCTGACACATCAAAATTCCCAAGAACATAATTTCGTCAATTTTCCATCAAATTTCAAACTTTTTTTTTATTACCTTCAGAAAAAGATTCTTTAGCATTTCATAAGAAAAAATAATAATTTTGTTTTTTAAATTCTTAGACCCTGTAGACATGTTTCAGATTTTGGGTCTGGACCTGGAAAGGGTTAAAAAGAGATTGGACAGTTCTTGAGTAGCTTTGGGAAAAGGTTAGATAAGTGGGTGGGTGGGAGTGGTTGGTTTACAGGTCACCAACACTTTTCCATCAGTCACCTGCCTAGTTTGGGCCAGTAGGCCTGCTGCAGTGTTCCTCTATTCTTACGTCCACTTTATTTTATTCCTTGGCAGCATATGGTAATGGTGGCACTTAAGTGTTTTGGGAGCTTACTGACGCAACACAGCCACTTCAACTTTACCAGCAACATCATCCGTGCTTTTGTGCCTTACCTCAACCACGTCGATGATGAAATATGCTCATTGGTCACCAGTTACCTCGCCCAGCTCTTCAAGGCAGATAAAGATGGTCGCATCTCTTTGGAAGTTAGTCGCTTTTGCTCTATGCATCTTAAGTGTGTGTTCAAAATAATTTTGTGAAGATAATATCTCTCCTTCAACTGTAGTGTAGGTGTGCTGCTGGCAAGACAGTGATGGAGTGAATGATGATGAAAGTGTTTCTTCTTTTTTTGGGTTAACCTGCCTTGGTGGGAGATAGCCGGTTTGTTGAAAGAAAAAAGAGTAATAATAATAAATTACTAAGTTTTACATTATGATATTTATACAAGTTTTCTCCAACCATTTGATAAATTAAAAAAGATAATAGGTTATTAATTCCTATTGATAACAAGATATCGAATTGTGAAAAAATTAATTGATAATTAAGATTTCTAGAATGACTTCCTAACAAGTGTTGCCTTGATGTCAGTGAAGACCTGGTGATCCCAGCAAGGGCAGCCACCTTTCCCTTAGATCAAACATGATTGCTTTCCATTTCCCTGGTGTTGTATGATCTCTGTGCATTGAGTGCTTCCCCATAATTCAAACTGCAGTCAGGTCTTTATTAGTGCGAGTTTGAACAGTGTAAATTTCAGTTTTGTGCGAAATTAATCATTGCTTGTTTTTCCTCAAATTCTTTAAATTGTGCTTAAAAATTATATATACTAATTCAAGTAGTGCAAGTTTCAATTTGATTCAAAAATTAGTGCTAATTTTTTCCCCTAAACTCTTCAAATCATGTGCAAAAATTATGTATAATTCAAACAGTGCTAATTTCAATTTATTGCAAAATAAATCAGTGCTAGTTTTTCTCCTAAACTCTTTAAACTGTGTGCAAAAATTACATATTTGAACAATGCAAATTCAAATAATGCGACCGCCTCACGGGATTTGTCATTCACACTAATCGCAACCTAGCTGTATTTAGTTGTTTGTGCAGCTCAGCTAAATATAGTCTTGGTTGCCAGGTGGTGCAGCAGATTGACAGGTACGTGCGAGGCCTGTCGTTCCGGGTGCGGCCTGAGGTGCTCAAGGTGTTGCTGGTGCTGAGGGTCAAGGAGGCCCAGAGTATAGACGTCGATATAGAAGCCAACCTCACTGCCAAACGCAAACTAACCCATACCGAGAAGCTTTTAAAAAAGCTTGCAGAGAAGAATCGACCCAAGAAATCCATCAAGGAGGCTAAGGTTGGTGTTGTGATTGCAGTACATGCTCTGCTCGACCTACAGTGGGGGTTACGTTCCAACAAACTCATCTCAAGTTGAAGTTATTATAAATTGAATATAAATATGATATGATAGATAAATAAATAAATAACTACTGTCACTTGAGTATATAAATAATTACTATAACCAACTGAATACCAGTATTGAAGAGTAAATAAAGGAATACAGTTACGGACTTGTCGCCTTCATGCTGGATAACTATCTTAATTTCCATCTCCAAAGTAATTGCTTTTCCTACATTGTAAGGTTGAAATATTGTAAGTCGAACCATCGTAAGTCGAGGAGCAACCATATTACTAATGCCACCTACTCAAACCTCGAGAACTTAACTTAAATTTAATGTGTGCTATAAACCACAGAACATGTGTGGGGTTGTGGACCCACAGCAAGCCAGCCCTAAAATGCCTGAGAGGCTAATGTAAAAATACAAATTTAATATAATGCAGCCATTTATTGAGTACGTCTTGCCCTTATAGTGAGCTTTATCAGGTTGCAAATTTAGGTGGGTGAAATCTTGTCAGTAAAGAATACTATGTGGGTGAAACTTCAATAAAGCCTACTATGTGGGTGAAGTGTCAATAAAGCATATATGGGTGAAACGTCAATAAAAGATCACATTGTACTGCATTTGTCTGTGTTTTTCCATCATGTTTATATGTCACACCATAAATGTTCTGCATAACTATGGTTTCTCTGCATGCTCAACCAAATGTCACTCATCTCTGTACAAACATTGTATCATGCTGGACTTGAGTCCTGGAGGTGGTAAGTACAGTGCCTGCACTCGAAAGGACGGGTTTAGAATATTTGCTGTTTGGAGGACGTCTAAACTGTTGTATCTACATGCCTCTGGCAAGACAGCAGTATGAATGATGGGTGAAAGCATTTCTTTTTCAGGTCACCCTGTCTTTGTGGGAAACAGTCAGCTTGTTACAAAAATTATGTATTATTTCTCCAGTGTTAGTAACAGTACTCTTGATAATCTCTCTTTCAGATTTTCCGTAAGAAGAGAAAGCTAGAGGAGAAGATGAAGGGAATACACAAAGAGAAGGAGACAAAAATCCGCAAGACTCACCACACTAGCGTGATTCAGTTGGTGTTTGGCTTGTTTATCCATGTGTTAAAGAGGCGAACCAATAATAAACTCATGGGAGTCATCCTGGAAGGTCTTGCAAAGTAAGTAACTGCAATCATCCTGGAAGGTCTTGCAAAGTAACTGCAATCATCCTGGAAGGTCTTGCAAAGTAAGTAACTGCAATCATCCTGGAAGGTCTTGCAAAGTATGTAACTGCAATCATCCTGGAAGGTCTTGCAAAGTATATAACTGCAGTAATCCTGGAAGGTCTTGCAAAGTATGTAACTGCAATCATCCTGGAAGGTCTTGCAAAGTAACTGCATTTGTTCTGGAAGGTTTTGCAAAGTAGTTAACTGCACACTTTGCAGCTTCATCCTCTATTTTGTTCCATTTCATATGTATATCTTACAAAGAAGGTCACTGCTTTACAGCACTTTGCTTGATGGTGTTATGCTAATGCAGCAGTTTTCAGTTATACCCAGTCTTTATTTATTCAAGACTTCCTACAGTAAATATATTCACCACTCACTCGGAGCTAAGGACGAAGATACTTTAAGGTAAGTAATGTATGTATTGTATATGCATTTTTTAGGCCTAACTATACTGCTGACTTAACCCCTTCAGGGTCCAAGGCCCAAATCTGAAGTGGTGCCCCCAGTGTCCAAGAATTTAAAAAAAAAAAAATTGTTATTTTTTCTTGTGAAATGGTAGAGAATCTTTTTGTGAAGGTAATAAAACAAAAAGTACGAAATTTGATGGAAAATTGACGAAATTATGCTCTCGCGAATTTTGATGTGTCAGCGATATTTACGAATCAGCGATTTTGCTGACTTTGACTCCCATTTTAGGCCAATTACATTATTCCAGTCAACCAAATTCTTAGCTATTTCACTAGTATTACTTCTATTCTATCGATTGAGCACAAGAAATCACCAAGTCAACTGTTTCAACTACAAAATAAAGTGATCAAAATTGTTAATTTGGCAATTTTACACAAAGTTCAAAATATTCCAATTTCAAAATAGGGTCCAGAATAAACAATGTAGGTATTCCTGGAACTAAACTAACATTTTCTCTGTTCATTAGTTACGTTTTGAGCTATTACAATAAATTCCATTTTGATTTTTTATTCACATAATGAATTTTTATCACACCACAAAAATAGAAGATTTACTGTTATGCAATACTGTAATAATTGTTAAAATATCATCACCATATTTGGAATGTATATTAGACCCACCACTGACAATGTATTAGACGTGTGAGTCGTTTGTTTACTCTGAATATCGGCAAAAATTAACATTTCTGCTGACTTTGAGCTTAGTTTCAAGCCATTTCCAGTGCTAAAACAATCAAAATCATCTTTATTTCTGTAATATGTCTTCCATTCTATCAAATGAGACCAAGCAATCGCAAATAGAGCTATAAAAAACATACGAAAAAACACTGCAAAGTCGCTTTTTTAATCGAAAAATCATGATTTCAGTTTTTTTCTCTCATACACAGCGTGCTGCAGGATCTGTTTTATGTGGTGCACACATATCACATAGATGTATTCTCTCATATCTAGGCCCAAATGTACCACTCACAGTTTATCAGAGTGAGCTGAGCTCATGACGTAGATCTACGGTTTGGACCCTGAACGTAAAGCCGTAGATCTACGGGACGGACCCTCAAAGGGTTAATATATATAATAGTGTAAATACGTTATCCGGCTTTTATATGCATTTGAAAGTTAAAAAAGTCTATGTTTCACTTTACAGTGATTTTTGGTGTACAGCAGTAACCTGGAACTTAATCTGCTGTATAAGCGGGACCTTCTTGTACCTTTGACTGAATTGCGAGAGTCTATCTACTCCTGGAGCCTGGCCATGGACCAGGCTTGTCTGGTGCTTGCCTGGTCAACCAGGCTGTTACTGCTGGCCACAGCTGGTGTATTTAAATTGTTTTACCCTCAAGTGTATGGTAGTAACAGACTGGTTGATCAGGCCCTGATCCACCATGAGGACTGGTATAATTAAAATTCTCAGAAAGAATGAAAAGGCACAATACCGTGACTGGAACAATACACAAATAACCCGCACACGGGAAAATGAAACTCATGACGATGTCTGGTCCAGCTTGGACCATTAACTAACCAATGGTCTAAGTTGGACTGAAACATCATCATAAGTTTCTTTATTTACACTCACTCGGCAGGACGGTAGTACGTCCCTGGGTGGTTGCTGTCTACCAACCTACTGTGTACCAACCAGGCTGTGATGGATATGTGGGGCAGCAGGTCACCAACAGCAGCATCCTGGTTGACCAGGTAAGCACTAGACAAGCCTGGTCCATGGCCGGAATCCAGGAGTAGAAAAACCCTCGCAACTCATCAAAGGTAAAGGTATCATCCTGCCTCGATGGGAGACGTCCAACGTGTATTTAAAAAAAAAATTCCTCCTTTGGCAGATTTGCACACCTGATCAACATAGAATTCTTTGCGGACTTACTCAATGTTCTGGGAGAGCTGATGGCTGAAGATACCCTCAAGTTCCGTGAGTCTCTGCATTGCATCCAGGTGGTGTTTACCATTCTCTCTGGTCAGGGAGAGGTGCTCACCCTTGACCCACACAGATTCTACAAATACTTGTATGCCAACATGTTCGAGTTGAGTGCAGGTTTGTATGTTGTGCCTTTTTATCAACCTCATTTGTAGGAAATTATACAGAACTTATTATTACACAAATTATGCACTGAGGTGGTCAGTCCCTCAGCCTGGAGAAAATATTTTGTTCCGAGTCTGAACCAAAACTATGTCACCAAGGGTGTTGGACTGATTACATCGTCTTCACATCTCTACTGCCTTTGCCAGCTTTTCTGTCCAGCCTCTCTTCACTTAATGATGGAGTTCTCTTCCTAAGACCACGTCGGTAAACAAATTCATCGCTAAGTGAGGAGAGGCTGTATTCGTCTGAAGGAGCCTACTGTGTAGGCGAAATGTTTGGGAATAAAGATACCTAACTTACACATATGTCTTATCAACCTGTTGGTATTTTATCCCTTTTTCAACCTAACAGGCACAAACCATAATGACGTCTTATCTGCCCTGGAGTCTGTGAAACAAATGCTGGTGGAGCGACACAAGCGAGTTAGTCTGGTGCGTGTTCAAGCCTTCAGTAAACGTATTGCTTCACTCAGCCTCACCCTCCTCCACAGTGGCACCATCGCCTCTCTCGCTGTTCTTCGTAGCATTTTGCTGGTAAGGATTTTGTTCCCATAACTCAGTTAGTAGTTCACACTGAGTGTCCATTGTTTGATCCCCAGAATGGGTGGAAACATTGCAGCGTGTTTCCTAAAGACACCTGCTGTTCCTATTCACCAAGCAGCAAGTAGGTAGGCGGATGGATTTATGAAGGATGAGATTAACCATAGAATTGATGAAGAAAAAAAGGTGAGTTGTGCATTGAGGTATATGTCGAGTCAAAAAACATTATCTTTGGAGGCCAAGAAGGGAATGTATGAAAGTATAGTGGTACCAACACTCTTATATGGGTGTGAAGCTTGGGTTGTAAATGCTGCAACATGGAGGCGGTGGAGGTGTCCTGGCTAAGGGCAATGTGCGGTGTAAATATTATGCAGAGAATTCGGAGTGTGGAAATTAGAAGGTGTGGAGTTAATATAAGTATTAGTCAGAGGGCTGAAGAGGGGTTGTTGAGGTGGTTTGGTCATTTAGAGAGAATGGATCAAAGTAGAATGACATGGAGAGCGTATAAATCTGTAGGGGAAGGAAAGCGGGGTACGGTCGTCCTCGAAAAAGTTGGAGGGAGGGGGTAAAGGTTATGTGGGCGAGGGGCTTGGACTTCCAGCAAGCATGCATGAGCGTGTTAGATAGGAGTGAATGGAGATGAATGGTATTTGGGACCTGACGAGCTGTTGGACTGTGAGCAGGGTAATATTTAGTGAATGGATTCAGGGAAACCTGTTATTTTTATATAGCTGGACTTGAGTACTGGAAATGGGAAGTACAATGCCTGCACTCTAAAGGAGGGGTTTGGGTTATTGGAAGTTTGGAGGGATGTGTTGTGTATCTTTATACGTATATGCTTCTAAACTGTTGTATTCTGAGCACCTCTGCAAAAACAGTGATTACGTGTGAGTGAGGTGAAAGTGTTGAATGATGATGAAAGTAATTTCTTTTTGGGGATTTTCTTCCTTTTTGGGTCGCCCTACCTCGGTGGAAGATGGCCGACTTGTTGAAAAAAAAAAAAACTATAGTTTTACATACAAACTAGGGCATATGAAAACCGAAGTTCCACTGTATGTACTTTGGAGACGAAATCTACGAAGGCAGCAAGTCTGTAACTTGTATTTATTCATTTACTTTTCAGTACTGGTATTTAGTTATAGTAATTATTTCTTTATTTTCTTACTCAATGACAGTAGTTATTTATTGATTTTTTTATTTAGCACATCATATTCATATTCGATAGGATTTTTTGAATTAACCCCATTTGATGTAACCCCATTGTAAGTCGAGTACCTGTATTGGCATTCCTCCAAGGCCAGGAGAGTGGCTCATTCAGTCTCATGCTCATAGCACAGTCCTCTCAGCTCATGACTAGTCTGGATGCATATCTGCCAACCTTCTCATATTTTGTTTTGTTTGAATAGTGAGGTTTCCATGCTGATTCATTTACAATTAATAGAATTTGTGAGAAGTTTAAGCTATGCGTGACAGGTCCTTGGTGAATTTCACTTGACGTGTATCCTGACAGTCCCACCTATATCATACTAGCTCAGGTGAAAGGTCGTATGTGAGGTGATATCGCAACCTTATAAGCCTTCTGCTGTTCTCTTATTTTTAAAGGTTGTTGATAATGTGAAAAATCACGAAATCACTTGAAAGTTCACAATTTTTTCACAGTGGTTGCTTTGCATACTCAAGAATTAGTCAAGTATGTGTTCCTCTTGATTCTACAGCCGCAAACTCATACTAAACGAGAAGTGTAATTTGTTAATTACCTATTACAAATAACCTGTTCCTAAGAGAGGAAACTTAGTGACATTTTAGTCTGCACTGGACAATTGCCACGTCACAACTGTATTTTGTTCCTACCACCGTATTGTAACTTTATTCTTGCCTTTTAGGTCCACCCCAGCACTGAGACCTTGCTAGAAACAGACTCGGAGGGAACAAGCGGTGTTTTCTCACCTGAGATAGAAGATCCAGAGCATTGTAATGCCTCTGCCTCCTCCTTATGGGAACTTCATTACCTGATGGTAAGTTCTGACTTGTGTGAGCGTGTTAGATAGGAGTGAGTGGAAGCAAGCAGTTTTTATGTCTTGATGTGTTGTTGGAGTATGAGCAAGGTAACATTTATGAAGGAATTCAGGGAAACCAGTTAGCTGGACTTGAGTCCTGGAGGTGGGAAGTACAGTGTTTGCACTCTGAAGGAAAGGTGGGGATATTTGCAGTTTTGAGCTGTAGTATCAGTACCTCTGGCAAGACAGTGATGGAGTGAGTGATGATGAAAGTGTTTCTCCTTTTTTGGGTCACCCTGCCACAATGAGAGATGGCTGATGTGTTAAAAAAAAAAAATTCATCCTGGATTGCAGTATTAATGTCATGTGTCTCATTTCAGCGACACTACCACAGCACCGTACGGCAGATGTCCGAGCATGTAGTGCGTGGAGCACCCCTCCAGGGTGACTATACCTTGCCCTATACTCTTACTAAGAGGTGAGAACACACTGAATTGTTTGAAATTATGAATGCCATGACTCAGGTAGTGGGAAGTTTGTGATGAAATTGATTTTTGATTTTTATTGACCTTACCACCCGCTTAGACCAGGCCTTGACGTAATCTGCCATTGCACATCTTTGAAAGGGCTTATCTGATGGGATAAGCTCTCTCACCTTCACTCTTAGAATGCTCTCTCACTTTCACTATTAGAATGCTCTCTTACTTTCACTTAGAATGCTCTCCTCATTTACTTGTCCCATCCATGATGCTCACCCAACAGTCTCTTTTCTATGCAAAATTTCTATTTGGAAATAATGGTAGAATTATTGACAAAATGGTGGGTAAAAAGAGCTTTGTTGAGGTGTTACAAACAGTACAGCTTAACAAAGCTGTATTGTTTGTAACAGCTTAACAAAGCTGTATTGTTTGTAACAGCTTAACAAAGCTGTATTTTTTGTAACAGCTTAACAAAGATGTATTGTTTGTAACAGCTTAACAAAGCTGTATTGTTTGTAACAGCTTAACAAAGCTGTATTGTTTGTAACAGCTTAACAAAGCTCCTGGAGAGCAAAACATTACCACAATAAGATGTCACATTAGTTGCATCTGTGTCTTGTTACCCAGCATAATTCCAATTTTTTTTCTCCATGGGGAAGTGGAGCAAAATTCTTCCTCTGTCATCCATGTATGTCGTAAGAGGTGACTAAAATGCTGGGAGCAAGGGGCAAGTAACCCTGTCTCCTGTATACATTACTAATTGTAAGAAGATGAAAGTGTTTCTTCTTTTTCTGATCCACTGCTTCGGTGGGAGACTGCCAGTGTCTTAAAAAAAATTCCTATTCGTGTTCAAAATAAATTTAATCTTCACAAGAATATTGACCATTTATTTACCTCTCCTTTTTCTCCACCAGATCAATTGAGGATCTCTTTGAGGATTATGATCCATCAGAAATGCGCTTCAACCCCGCCATTCCGACTCCAAGCCAACACTTGTCCAACAGATTAAGCCAGAAGACCAGGAAGCACATGAATAGACTAAACAATGAACACTGGATCACAGACTACATGACACAAGAGACCCGCGCCCTGGCAAGTTGCTCCACCAACAACCCCGGGACTACCACTGGATGTCGTGCAGAGGTTTCATCTCTGGAAAATTTGGCCCCAGTCGCTGAATTGAATGATGCCGATTTTTATAGCGGAATGCTGTTAAATATGAACCTTGATGAAATTCCCACCAGGAAAATTTCCGATGATGAAGTTTGTGAAGATTTTACAATAAGTCTCCTTAAGAGTGAAACCAGGAAGAAATAATTACTGGATGTACTCTGTATTCCGAGTTTTTTTTTATCCCTAACACTAATTGAATATAACACAGGGTGTTTTAAAAAGAAGGACCCAATTTCAAAGCAATATGTATTATGATTGGGTCAGTCTTTTTAAAACTCCTTTTATTTATATGAATACAAGTACTCCTCAACTTACGTTTGGGTTATGTTCTGACAAACCTGCCATAACCCAAATGTTAATATGATATGATAAATAAATTGGTAAATAATAACTACTGTCACTGAATAAGTAAATTAAGAAATAATTACTGTAACTAAATACCATTGTTGGAAAGTAATAAATACATATTAGTGGACTTCCTGCCTTCATGGTGGGTAATTATCTTGAGTTTCATCTTTGCCCTGCCTCGGTGGTCGCTTTGCCTCGGTGGTCGCTTTGCCTCGGTGGTCGCTTTGCCTCGGGGGTCGCTTTGCCTCGGTGCTCGCTTTGCCTCGGTGCTCGCTTTGCCTCGGTGGTCGCTTTGCCTCGGTGCTCGCTTTGCCTCGGTGCTCGCTTTGCCTCGGTGGTCGCTTTGCCTCGGTGGTCACTTTGCCTCGGTGGTCGCTTTGCCTCGGTGGTCGCTTTGCCTCGGTGGTCGCTTTGCCTCGGTGGTCGCCCTGCCTCGGTGGTCGCTTTGCCCTCGTGGTCGCTTTGCCCGTGGGCGCTTTGGCCTCGTGGTCGCTTTGGGCCTCGTGGTCGCTTTCCTCGGGGGTCCGCTTTTGCCTCGGTTGTCGCTTTGCCTGTTTTGGGCGCTGCCTCGTGGTCGCTTTGCCTCGTGTCGCTTTGCCTCGTGGTCCTTCCTCGTGGGCGCTTTGCTCGGTGGTTTGCTTTGCTCCCGGGGGTTTGCTTTGCCCCGTGGTTCGCTTTTCCCTCGTGTCACTTTGGGCCCCGGGGGTCGCCCTGCCTCGTGGTCGCTTTGCCTCGGTGGTCGCTTTTGCCTCGGTGGTCCTTGCCTCGGGGTCCCCTTTGCCTCGTGTCCTTGCCTCGGTGGTCGCTTTTGCCTCGTGTCGCTTGCCTCGTGGTCGCTTTGCCTCGGTGGTCGCTTTGCCTTCGGTGGTCGCTTTGCTCAAGGGGTCGCTTTGCCTCGGTGTCGCTTTTGCCCTCGGTGTCGCTTTGCCTCGGGGGTCGCTTTGCCTCGGCAGTCCCGCCCCCGCCTCGTGGCGCTTTGGCCTCGGGAATCGCCCTCCTCGTGGTTTGCAATGCCTCGGGGGTAGCCCTGCCTCGGCGGTCGCCCTTGCCTCGGCGTCGCCCCCGCCTCGCGGTCGACCTGCCTCGGGGGTCCCGACCTCCTCGCGGTCGACCTGCCTCGGCGGTTCGACCTGCCCTCGGCGGTCGACCTGGCTCACTGCGGTCGACCTCCTCGGCGTTGCCCTGCCTCGGCGGCCGCCCTGTCCTCGGTCGCCCTTTCCTTGGCGGTCAACCTCCCTCGGTTTTGACTGCCTCGGCGGTCGCCCTGCTTGGGTGCATCCTGGTGTTATGGCCTGTTTTGGGTGCATCCTGGTGTTAGTGACTGTTTGGTGCATCCTTGGGTGTTAGTTTTACTGGTGTGGGGTGCATCCTGGGTGTTTAGTTGACTGTGTGGGGTGCATCCTGGGCGTTAGTGGACTGGTGTGGGGTGGGGGATCCTGGTGTTGTGGACTGGTGTGGGTGCATCCTGGTGTTTAGTGGACTGGTGTGGGTGCATCCTGGTGTTAGGGGGACTGGTTGGGGGGGCTCCTGGGTGTTAGTGGACTGGTGTGGGTCATCCTGGGTGTTAGTGGGCTGGTGGGGGTGCATCTTGGGGGGGTTATGGACTGGTGTGGGGTGCATCCTGGGTGTTAGTGGACTGATGTGGTCACATCCTGGGTGTTTGTGGACTGGTGTCGGTGGCATCCTGGGGGGTTAGGGACTGTGTGGGTGGCATCCCCCGGGTTTAGTGGACTGGTGTGGGTCACATCCTGGGTGTTAGGTGGACTGTGTGGGTGGCATCCTGGGTGTTTGTGGACTGGTGGGGGGGGGTCACTCCTGGGTGTTATTGGACGGGTGGGTGTGGGGGGGTGCATCCTGGGTGTTAGTGGACTGGTTTGGGTCCATCCTGGGTGTTAGTGGACTGGTGTGGGTCACATCCTGGGTGTTAGGACTGGGGGTGGGTGGCATCCTGGGTGTTATTGACTGTTTTGGGGGCACATCCTGGGGGTTGGGGGACGGTGGTGGGGGGCATCCTGGGTGTTAAGTTGGACTGGTGTGGGGGGATCCTGGGGGGTTAGTGGACTGGTGTGGGGGGCATCCTGGGTGTTAGTTTGGGCTGGTGTGGGGTGCAATCCTGGGTGTTAGTGGACTGTGTGGGGGGGCATCCTGAGTGTTAGTTGGGCTGGTGTGGGGTGCATCCTGGGGGTTAGTGGACTGGTGTGGGGGGCATCCTGGGTGTTAGTGACTGGTGTGGGGGGCATCTTGGGGGTTAGTGGACTGGTGTGGGTGCATCCCCGGGTGTTAGTGGACTGGTGTGGGTCACATCCGGGTGTTAGTGGACTGGTGTCGGGGGGGCATCCTGGGTGTTAGTGGACTGGTGTGGGTGGCATCCAGGGTGTTAAATGGACTGGTGTGGGTCACTCCTGGGTGTTAGTGGACTGGTGTGGGTGCATCCTGGGTGTTAGTGGACTGGTGTGGGTCACAATCCTGGGTGTTAGTGGACTGGTGTGGGGTGCATCATGGGTGTTAGTGGACTGGTTTGGGGGTCACACCTGGGTGTTAGGACTGGTGTGGGGCACATCCTGGTGTTAGCAGACGGGTGTGGTGGCATCCTGGTGTTAGTGGACTGGTGTGGGTCCTCCTGGGTGTTGGTGGACTGGTGTGGGTGGCATCCTGGGTTTTGTGGACTGGTGTGGCATCCTGGGGGTTAGTGGACTGGGGTGGGTCACATCCTGGGGGTTAGTGGACTGGTGTGGGTCACATCCTGGGTGTTTTGCAGACTGGTGGGGTGGGATCCTGGGTGTTTAGGGGGGGTTTTGGGACTGGTGTGGGGGGCACATCCTGGGTGTTTGGTGGACTGGTGTGGTCACATCCTGGGGGTTAGTGGACTGGTGTGCGTGGCATCCTGGGGGTTATGGACTGGTGTGGGTGGCATCCTGGTGTTAGTGGGCTGGTTGGGTCACAATCCTGGGGGTTAGTGGACTGGTGTGTGTGGCATCCTGGGTGTTAGTGGACTGGTGTGGATCACAATCCTGGGGGGGTTTAGTGGACTGGTGTGGATCACATCCAGGGGGGCGTTAGTGGACTGGTGTGGGTGGCATCCTGGGGGTTTAGGGACTGGTGTGGGGTGGCCTCCTGGGTGTTATGGACTGGTGTTGGGTGGCCCTTCCTGGGGTGTTAGTGGACTGGTGTGGGTGGCATCCTGGGGGTTAGTGGACTGTGTGGGTGGCATCCCCGGGGACAAAATTTGACCAAGTTCCCAGAAATGCTCAGCATAACCAAGATACTTTCTATATAGTAGTATATCCCCTTTAAGTCACTATAGTCCTATACCTGTTCATGTACTGGTATATCTTGTACATTACTGGTATACCTTGTACATGTACTGGTATACCTTGTACATGTACTGGTATACCTTGTACATGTACTGTATACCTTTTTCATGTACTGGGTATACCTTGTACTTTTACTGGTAACCTTGTTCATGTACTGGTATAACCCTTGTACATGTACTGGTAACCTTGTCATGACTGGTATAACCTTGTACATGTACTGGGGAAAACCTTGTAATGTACTGGTATACCTTGTACATGTACTGGTAGTAAATAAAGATTTTTATTATTATTACGTTTGGTTCCCTCTTCCTCCAGCAACTGTGAGAGAACTTTTCCACGGCTTTACACTCACACAAAAGTTACGACAATTCTACGACTAATGGCAGTGTGGAACCCTTATGGGTTTAGTGCTTTTCCTGAGTATAAATAACTTTTTTAAATAATAATGGTTAGACAGTTGGGATCTTGTCCCCTCAAGGAAGGTTCCTTGATGTTGGTGAGGGGCTCTTGATTTAGGGAATTGGATCTGTGCTCCAGTTCCCCGAATTAAGCCTGAATGCCTTTCCACATCCCCCCCCCCCCCCCAGGCGCTGTATATCCTCCGGTTACCTTTCCCCCAGATTTATAATAATCCCTGACTTGATCGCTCCTGGTAAACCTTGAAAGCAGGCAAGGGCTCTTGATCCAAACACATGGATTATTCTCCGTTTCCTTGGGTGGGGCCAGAATGCCTCCCCTTTTCCCCCGGTGATACATGGCCCTACAGTTTAGAGCAACCCTCATGAATGTAATAATAAACACACTTCAACTGGGGGTGCCTTTTCTTTATCCTAGGAAGTGAGCCTCCTTTCACTTTCCCCCCCTTTGGGTCAAATCTACTGTCGATTTCCCCAGTTGCAGGGAATTTGATCCAAAGAATTGGAGTTACTCTTAGGCCCGGGGCCCAAGACTAGTCTTCCAGTGGTACCAAATAGACTCCCCCCGGCTGTCTTTTTCAAGACCCCTGGCGTCTTTTAAGACCCCTGGCTGTCTTTCAAACCCCTGGCTGTCTTCAAACCCCCGGCTGTCCTTTCAAAAACCCCTGGCTGATTTCAAGACCCCTGGCTTTTTTTTCAAACCCCTTCAACCCCTGGCTGTTTTCAAGACCCAAGGCTGTCTTAAGACCCCGGAGTCTTAAGACCCCGGGGTCTTAAACCCCTGATTATCTCAACTCCCTGGCGTCTTTCCAAGGCCCTTGGGCGTCTTAAACCCGGTGTTTCAAGACCCCTGGCTTCTTTCAAAGACCCCTGCCGCTTTCGACCCCTCTGACTTTCGACCCCCGGCTGTCCTTCAAAGGCCCCCGCTGTCTTTCGAAACCCCTAGCTGTCTTTTAAGACCCCTGCGTCTTCAAGACCCCTGGCGTCTCAAGACCCCTGATGTCTTCAAGACTCCCGGCGCCTTCGACCCCTGCTGTCTTCAGACCCCTGTTGTCTTCAAGACCCTGGCTGTCTTCAAGACCCCT